TCTTCTTCTATATTAGGTGTTAGGTAGGGTCGATAGTATAGTTCTTCCCGAGTACGTCTTAGCCTTTTAAAGGGCTAGTCTAGAGGGGTCGGAGCTATTAGTGGTTTGGTTGGGGTACTAAGCCCTACTTTAGCCTCCCTTATACGTTAGTTTCTCTCTAGCTATTCCTAGTTAATAGACTCTTAAGTAGAGTTAATTGCTTGCTATAAGAGTAGCTATATAGCCTAGGCCTACTAAGAGGTGAAGGCTAATAGTGGGTCCTCTACTAGAGGGGCGTTGCGGTTGGGTCCTTCTTCTCTTAGGATGGACTCGGTAGAAGAGGAATAATAAAGCGGGGCTATCGTCTCTTACGTTATTAGAGGTGTTATATATTAGTGCGTGGGTCGGTTCCGACCCTCGGTCCTCCATAGGCCCTTATATAAGGCTTAAGTAATAGTTAGGGCGTCGTCTTAAACCGATCGGTCCTCTAGTAATAACTTTAATAGGGGAAGGGGTTCCCTTAGGGCTTAGAAGGCGTCCTTATTAATTAGCTGACGCTTACGCTTAAAGTCTTTTCTAGGCGTAGACGGTTCTTCGAAGGCTCTTAATAACGGAGGGGTAGAGAGTAGGGACGAGTCTATTATTGCTAGTGTAGTAGCATCGGATAGGATAATAGGTTGCGAGGTTCCTAATCTACGACCTAGCTAGGAACCTAGGGGCGCTAGCGTAGCTGGAACGGCTAGAGTTAGGGCCACGGGAGTTTTATTAGTTTTAACTAGGTGGTGTCTTTCTAGTGTTCCCCTAGGGGTTAGTTCGTTGTCTTGCTTCTAGGCTAGGTAGAAAGGGAACTCTTTAATGAATTGGGTGTCTCTTTAGAACTAATAGAGGGCAAGATTAATGAAGTGTTTGCCGTTAACACTAATTGTCTAGTTAATTAGGTAGCTTAGTCCTCTAGCCTATTCTTAGATAGTCTTATCGAATGTTGGAGGGAAGGGAAAATGATTAATAATAAAGCCTTAGAGCTTATTAACCTTTTCTTTTATAATAATAGACTTATAGCTTGGAATCTTTTATGCGAAGGCTCGGATATAGTATATAGTCCTAATAGTAGCCGCGGGTAGGTTTAGGAGGATCCCTATTAAGGTAGCTAGCTTAAAGGCTTACTAGGATGATAGGGTTCCGTTAACTTAAGACGACGATGAGGTGATGCCTTAAGTATTAAAGGAGATGGAAGTAAAGGTGGGAGTTGAGAGGGAATAAGAGAAGAGAGGAAGAGAAAAGAAAGAGGGGGAGTATAGGTCGGTTAGTAGCGAGATAGGTGGATTTAGTGTATCGCTAGTAAGGAAGGACCTAGCCCCTAGCTTAGTTCCTAATTAGTGGGTCGGACCGTGGTTGCTTTTTAGACAGGGCCTAGTAAATAAGGTCGGATCGAGAAAGTCCTAGGACCGTTAGTTAATTAAGGTCGCGATAGTAGTATAGCGAACTGTGTGGTAGCTAGTGAGTATTAAAATAAATCGAACCTAGTTAGTGTCTTATTAGTGCGACCGTGAGGGGCGCTAGTTTAGTAGAGTTAGTGCGACGCTTCGGTCGGCTTACTGAATGTGGTGCGAAAGTCTTTTAGCGCTATATAGCAATAGCTGGTGGAGTCAATTGAATGGTCGAATCCTATAGTGTGCTTTTTAGCTACTATATATCATAATTGGATCTATATATCTCTAAATAGTCGTGAATATATAATTAATTGAGTGATAGTCGCGTTGTCTCAACGCGACCGACTATATACCTATTGTTTAGTTGGCTCTTACTATCTAGGCCACCTCACTGTAGCCTGGACTGTGACAATTACGCTTATAGCTAATTACACTAATAAGGTATTAGCTATAGGCCTAACTAGGGACTATATTAGATTACTCTAAGAGTAAATATATAACCTATAATTAGAATCAGATTTTAAGGATTAGCTCGCTCTATTATTTACTGCCTAGCTACTTAAAATAAAGGCTAGGGCGAAGCCCACTAAGATTAACGCGTATATAAAGAAGTATAAGATAGATAAGACTAACTACAACTAGTATAAGGTTACTAGCACTAGATTAAGGAAGAAGTAAGAAGACAACTAGCGCGAGAAGTAAAAGGGTAGTAAGGTTTCTAATCTAGTTTTACTCTAAGAGGATCCCTGTACTAGTGTAAAGCGTAAGGTAAAGAAGGCCCTTATTTAGCGTACTTTAAGCTAAATTAATATAGATTAAGGCTATCTAGAGACTTATAAGCTAATTCTACTAACTCTTCTAAAAAGTACTTTTCTGCTCCTACTAAAGCGTCTGCTACCGCTACTAAGTAAATAGTAGGTAATAATATTAACCTATAGCTCTTAGATAATAGCACTACTACCACTATTGCTACTAATAGTATTAATATTAAGAATATTAATATAGACGAAGATATTCTTAACCGCTTAGACGATATAGTGTTTACTATATATAGCTCTACTAGTAATACTTAGGAAGGATAGTTATCTACTAATAATGTTAAGACCGGCTAGGCTATTATTAATAATAAGCTTATGGAGGTAGCACTTCTAAATAAACCGCCTTCTAATAGCGATTATACTACTACGTACCTTACTAGTAATAAGTTTATATAAAATTCGCTGCTATTAATATATATAGGCTCTTAAAATATTTCGACCGCTTTGACACTAATAAAGTTACTAAGCGCGTGTCTACTAAAAATAGTTATAATATACCTACACCTTAGCTATACTTCTATTTTAAAGAAGACTACTTATATAGCTATCTACTATAGTAGGAAGTTAAGGTCCACGAAGTTAACTATATAGGCGTGCCTAAAGCCGAGGCGAAGTTAGTATACTTATATATAGAATATAATAGAAAATTCGTAATAGAGGAACTATAAACTAAATATATTAGTAACTTTTATAGATAGGTGCTAAAACTATACTTACTTTACCTAAATAACTAGAAGTCATCTACGCCACCTATAATAAGTGGTAGTAATATTATTAGATAGAGCACAACTACCTTAATAAGCCTATAAAATACCTACTAATTAATAAATATAAGCGTATTAAGACCTCTACTATAAGAGGACCCCTTAAATCGCACCTAAAAACCGCGTATAAGTAGACTATTACGTAAATTAAAGTCTATATTCTAGACTATTAATAAGTTCCACTAAAGTTCTCCTCTATATATCTAACTAAAGAGTGTATAAATAAAAGTACTTTCCTTTCTAGATTATCTCTATATATATATCTAGTTATATTACACGGTATGTCTTAGGACGAGACTAAAAATTAGGTACTACTTTCGCCTACTAAATAACACCTAAAGGCGGTTAGGCGTAAGAAGGCTAAGTAGGTAAAGTAATAAATAGGGTTAGTAGTAAGCTCTAAGCGTTACTGTCTTATATTAAGCTTATAAATCAGCCTAGTTAATTGCTAGCGCTAGGACTATATAAATATTTACTAGGATAATAAGCACCTTAGGGGACTTACTAGAATATATATAAAGGTTAGAATTATTACTACCTTAGGCTTACTAAAAGGAATTACGAGCTAAAGTCTATATAGAGCCTATAGTATTCTCGTCCTTCGTGTAGATACTATATTACTTATTTATATTTTATTACATTTATAGCTTAAGGAGTACTTGCCTACTAACTTACGGATCTATAGAAAAAGTACTTTATAGATAGAATAAATGTAGCTAGGCAGATACTTATACTAAGTAGAAATCTATTACTTTATGCTTATAAAGCATATATTACGCTAAAAGTCCTTTACTATATATAAGGGGCGAAGCAATACAGCGGCAGTATCCCTCTTCGCTAAAAGCAACTTCCTACTTTCCCTACACCCCACCTATAAGGAAGGTAGCGGGGAAGCAGCGGCTCCACTAAGCGCAGCGAGGCCTAAGGAAGGAGGGATCAGAGGAGGAGGGGTATATAGGAGAACTCCCTTTATAAAAGCGCCTCCATTAGGTAGTCCCAAGGGCCGGTGAAATTACATGTCAGAGATTCACTCCGTTCCATATTGGATGGGATTTGTTCCTTGAGAGGAAAAGCACTTTTTGATTGCCGTCTCTCGCTTGCGCAAGTCTGATGTGTGAGTATCATACAAAGCCAAACGCCCAACCCTAGCAACCCATCCGCAGCATATGCAATCGCCAAAGCACCACACCATCAATGCAGCCGCTAGACTCCAGCTCGTTACTTACGGTCACTCGAAGCCAGTTGAGAGAACCTAAGAAAGGGACAGCTCTTCTAACTCTGCCTCCAGCGTGTCCACCTCGGCGAGCGTGTTGTTCGTGGCTGACAGTTGAGCTGCGTAGGTATCTGGAGGGCTGTGAAGTGAAGTAGATGGAGGTGAGGTAGATGGAAAGAGCTTTCCCGGACTTTAACCGGGACTTAAGCAAACTGAGATTGGTGAACTTTGGGAGAAAGGGCCTCCATAAGGCAACCTAGTCCCAATGATTATCATAATTTTCAGTAGTCGTGGCCGCTTTCCAGTTGCTAAAACGCGACCACGGATTTGTATATTGATCCTTGTCCCCTGTCGCCCAGGGTTTGTGAAAAAGCACGTAGCCGCCTCGGCCATACACTGGCACATGCGAAGCGGCCACGGGCTTTTTCACTGATCCTCGCGCCTAGACTCTGGTTCCGCAGAGCCTCGCGCCTTATTTTAACCTTAGCCCGAACCGCCTCTAGCCCTCTCGCGTCTATCGAGACTAATTCCAAAGTTCACACGTAGAGCTAAAGTTTTCGTCCAACGGCAAGCTCTGATATCTCTTAGGCTCGACTGTCGCACACGACTACCTACATCTCGGACCTCAAGAAGACCCTAGACTCCGCCGGCGCAAGGATTTTTTAATACTGCCATCGTGGTCCGGAACATTGTAGTCCTTGGAGGGTCGAGTCACCCTAGACTGACCACCACCTTGGCTCCCTCACCCCGCGTCCTCGCGTACCTCGTCCGCCGAGGGCGCATCCTCCCACCCACCATGGCCCTCACCGTCGTCCCTCATCAGCCCTTTGCGCCGGAAAAGCCAGATGCCTTTAATCCACCTCCGCCAGTCGTGGTCACGCCCTGCGATCCTTGGCCGCGGCCGTACTACCTCGAGAACGGGCTCCGACGCGTGCACCCGTACCATTTCACCTATAACACCTACTGCAAAGAGCGCTGGCGCGGGCGAGAGATCCTGGATATCTTCGCCAGCGAGTTCAGGGATCGGCCTGTGGAGTACTATGTGAGTGCCCCAGCTCGTGGACAGAGCGCACCGAACGCGGCTCATGTGTATCTCTGACGCCAGGGCTAGAAACACGCCATCGAGAGCGGAAAGGTGGTGCTGAACGGCAAACCTGTTTCCCCGGCCCACGTCGTCAAGAACGGGGACATAATATCGCACACCCTGCATCGACACGAGCCACCTGTCACGGCGCAGCCTGTGGGAGTCGTGCACGAGGACAACGACATGATCGTCATCAATAAGCCGGCTGGCGTGCCGGTGCATCCTGCGGGACGCTACAACTACAACTCAGTGGTGGAGATTATGCGGGCGGAGCGTGGATACACTTTCAATCCGCTGCCATGCAATCGGCTGGATAGGCTGACGAGCGGGGTCATGTTCATTGGGAAGCATAGGCAGGCGGCGGATAGTCTTACGGTGCAGATCAAGGACAGGACGGTCAAGAAGGAGTATGTTGCGAGAGTGGTTGGGGAGTTTCCGGAAGGGGAAGTCGTCTGCGAGCAGCCTATCTTGCAAATTAGCCCGAAGTTGGGCTTGAACAGGGTCAGGGCGAACGGGAAAGAGGCGAGGACTGTGTTCAAGAGACTTGCGTATTATCCGCCGCAGCAGAAAGACGGTCAAGAAGATGTCAAAGAGTCCAATGGCGTAGTCGAAGATGGCATGGCGTGGAAGAAGCTGAAAGGCTACTCGATCGTCCGCTGCCTGCCATTGACAGGACGCACCCATCAGCTCCGTGTACATTTGCAGTTCCTCGGTCATCCGATAGCGAACGATCCGATCTACTGCAACCAACGAGTCTTCGGTCAGGACCTCGGACGAGGCGATGATAACTCAGAGGACGACGAAGACATCATGGCACGGTTAGCGAAGATGGGCAAATCTGAGGTTGCAGAAGCTGTCGCTTATCACGATGAGATGGTTGACGAGTACAACAAACGGAAGGCGGAGAAGATGTCAGGGGAGTTTTGCGAAGTCTGCGACACGCCGTTATACAGCGACCCTGGAGAGCATGAGTTGGGCATCTACCTCCACGCCAAGAGGTACGCTTGCGAAGAGGGAAGATGGTCGTACGAGACGCCCTTGCCAGATTGGGCGCTGCCTCCACCGGGAATGGCTGGACCTACTGAGGCGACGCCGGAAAGTGATCCGCTGGCCATTGACTTGGAGAGGCTCAATCTCAGCACCGACAGAAGCGCGACTGTAGCGACAGATGGGGCTGTCCCAGTAGCACAGCCGTTGGCTGCTGCTGCGTGATATGTACGACCTGTCTACTATTAGTGTTTCAGATCTATCGGCACGCCGTTACCTTCTCCGCTCTGCAGCATAGCCTCCAGCTGTTCGCATGATCAGCATCAGTGTACACACAGCCGCTTCTCGAGGGGACATACCACTTCCAGATCCTTCAGCGCCTCTTCCGGTGTCTGTCTCGGATCCTGGTTGCCTGACTCGATCCCTTCGCCCCACGCTTTGACCTCCTGCTTCACGCCCGCACCTTCGCCAGAGAACTCTTTGGTCTCTTCCTTACCGTCCTTGACTATCTTGACCATAGACCTGAGGACGGTAACCGTGCCTTTCTCGCAAGCCAAGGTGTACTCACTCCCGCTGAACGTGGTGCCAAAGGATACCGAAAAGGTTCCGGAGACGCCGGACTTGGTCTTCCACGTTGCATCAACTGTGTCAACAGGCGGCAAGTGCTCCTGCAGCCGCGCAGTAAATGCAGACACGCGGGTTGGGGCGTTCTCAGGCTGTAGCAGAAGCCGAGTACCGGCTATGAAGTGTACACCGCCGTCCAGGAGGAAGCCGCCTTGGTACTCAGGTGTCTTGCGCCACGCAGTTTCTAGGCAGGGTCAGTCACAATCATAGCTCTACAATCTTACACGTCTTGCTAGCGTCCTAGAGGCTCACCAAAATACTTCGTCCCCGGCTTCACAAACGCATGCATCCTCGTTCTAAACCCAAGCACCCGTCCCATCTGCCTCACCTGCTCAGCACCATGTAGAAAAGAATCCATGAAGCGGAAATTCTCAGCAACGCTCCACGTGACTTTCGACGTGTCGACATTGTCGTGGTACCACTTGACCAGCTCCGTGGCCGTGGCGACGTCTTTGGCGACGGGCTTCTCGGCGAGGACGTGTTTTGAGGCTTCGAGGGCTTGGCGGATGTAGGTTGGTTGGGTGAGGATGGGGAGACTATCGCATAGGGAGATGTGAGAGTGTGGTAGGGAAAGGGCTGGGAAGGGTCACGAACCCTATGATTACGGCTTGGATGTCGGAGCGGGCTAGGAGGTCGCTGTAGCTTTTTCCCTCGCCGGAGTCGTCGCTGTAGAGGTCGGCATTGGAGAGGTTCTCTGCGAGTGACTTGGCGGATTTGAGGGAGCGGGAGTAGATGGCTTTGAGGGTGAGGGAGGGGGCTGCTTGGACGGCTGGCTTCGTCAAGTGTCAACAACGATAGCCGTGATGGTCATGGCTTCAGTCTTGTAGTACCAGATGCTCGTCTTTAGCAAACATGCCTTGGGGGAGGTTAGTTATAGTTATTCAGAGAGAAGTAATACCGGGAGTTTTTGAAGAGATTACCGCTTCCGATGATCGCTACTCCGATTGACATGGTGACTGTTAGCTGGATGCCAGCGCTGAACGAGTTGTTCAAAGAAATGAACTAATGTGAGTTACTCAATGCGTTTCCGTCCTCAATACATGAGCACTATGAATTTCTCGCAATGACGTATCACCGTATGTGGTTCGCGGCAACCTCGGCATCTCGCTGTGGTTTCAGCATCCAATGTCCAGCAACGATGTGGTAAGAAGACCACCAAGCTCCCTGTCCGACTGCTGGACCGCCGTCAGAGATAAGAAGTGATGCCTAGGAGAAGATAGCTCTGTATAGCGGCCAGCAATGGCGCACACCCTCCTCAAGAACCGTCGGCGGACCGACTATAGGTTCTCTCTCGAATACCGCACAAGATGGTATATCCAAACATCCACGGCTCGATTCGGACGACCTTGATGCTGATTGAAGCCTCCCAGGATTGACAACGACATGTACGATCACATGAACAACAGCGTCTACTACTTCCTGTAAAGCCCCCCCTTCTTACAACCACCCGCCCCCACCATGTCTAACGACCAACCCAGCTTCGACTCCATCGTAAACTCCTACCTCATCCAGCACTGCTCGCTGCACCCCCCGACCTCCGACTCGATCGGCCTCGTCGTCCACTCCCACTGCGACTACTTCGCGCCTGTGGGCTTCCCTGCGGTTGTCGACCTCTGCTTGAGGGTGAATAAACTGGGGAAGAGCAGTGTCACGTATGAGATTGGGGTGTTTGAGAAGGGAGTCGAGGAGGTCAAGGCGGTGGGGAACTTTATTCACGTTTTTGTGGAGAGGGAGGGTAGGAGGCCTGCGGTGGAGGGGATGGCGGAGAACTTGAAGAAGGGATTGGGAGCTATTGTGGTTTCGGAGCAAGCGAAGCTATGAAAGCTTGTAGAGGACATGTCCTAGCCACTGCACTCTGGGGTTTATGCGGCCGATCTCTTCTTTCCTCTGGTACCAGAATGCTCCGAGGCTCTGGAAAGCTATGTCCTATGTCTTGAAAGGGGGTGACTTCAGACAGTCACGCTTCGGACTTATTTCGCAATCTCAGCTCCGCCGCCAGCAGATGAAAATAGCCAGAACGCCTCCCGGATTGAACTTCTTCCTCGGGCCACGATCAGCTCCTCCGCAGCACTCTGGGGCTCACAGTCCTTTGCGGGACTTGTATAGCTCAAAGTGGTCATAGAGCTTCACCCTAATCCACCCCGCATCCCTGCGTACCGAGTCGCTTGCGTTGTCTACGTTCTCCTTCACAGCCAATCGTTCGTCGTCTGTTGGCCCGTTGAATAAGTCACTGATGTCCTCCAACTGGTAGTACTCCCCGCCAACACCACAGGTCTCGCATGCTTCCAAGTAGTCTTTGAACTGCTGCACCTTGATCTTTGTCTTATTCCCTCTCTCAATGTTAAAAGCACCGGAGACCATTTACGCAGCTCAAAGGGTATCTCTCTTGGATCCCATTCGGCCCGTGTCTTGACAGCGTCCATCTCTAGTACCCGAAGCTGCGGCATGCGAAGGAGCGGCTCAAGTAGGTATCTCGAATCGAGGCGCCATACTGAATCCGGGATTTTCTTCGCATCCCACAGCTTCCGGGTGCAGAGTAGCCAGTCTTCGTATTTGTCCTCGAACTCTCTATCAGAGAGTCTAGTTGAGGAGGTCCGCGGCGTTACAAATCGGAAATCGCTTGAGGAGTCATGCCAGGGGATATGCACCAAGAGCAGTTTCCTCACGTGGTCCCTGAGCAGCATCCCGATTCCGTACTGATCAGTACTCAGGAACTCAGGCAGGTCCTCCAGATATTCGATGTGAAAGGCGTTTAAGTTGTAGAAAACTCTTGCTGCCTCTTCCGCCATCCCCTGGCCAACATGATAGCTGCTCATCAGGCCAACGGAATCCACTGGCAGAAAACCGTGCCGAGGTCCTTGGCGACAGCATGGTGTGGACGTGAACAGGCTTGAGACTTCGATAGGGCGGTCCTCCACGTAAAGATGCTCGTATATCATGTTTCGCAGCACAAGAGGTAAAGAGAGGAGCTTGGCGGCTTCACGCCGCATAAGTGGTGCGAGGTGCTCGCACAAGCGCTCCATGACCTGCAGCCTGTGTGTCCTGTGAGCGATGCCAAGGCCAAGGCAATGGCTTGCTTCCGTACCTTTTCTCGTAGTTTTCTCGCCGAAGCTCATACTCGAGGATCCTATGCCACCAGTCAGGGTCGCAATCGGTTCGCTCGTTTCAATCCAACACACTTCTCCGGATTTGCATCCTGGCCTTGAAGACTAGCGAGCCTGTATGATTGTCAGCTTGCGCTGTGACACAAGACAGGAGGCTCCATACATTTGCTTTTGTTGCTCTAGATCTCGTCGTAGATTTTTCGGGCTGCGGTTTCCTTAGACGCTGTCCAGATGCCAAAAGCAGCCGCCGACTTACGCGTGAAAGTGGAAGTGCTTGATGTCGAGAAGCCGAAGGCGGTGAAGAGATGGTTCCGGCATGTTGGGTCCCTTCTTGCGGTGTTTCAAAGCTCTGTGATTATAGCTCTAGACGATGATTCTTAGCTTCTTTAGATATGGAGAGGGCCACTCTTTTGCTTCTTAGCAGATTAGAGGAACTTTCGCTTTTGTCTGACATACTGCGACAGGATAAGCCACCTGTCTGGATGCTGTTTGACAGTGGAGCGCATTGACATGTTGTTGATCCTTGATGCCAGGTCTTGACTTCCTTCACTGACGTCTTGCTTCACGTGACCATCACCAAAGGAGCATATTTCATCCTCGTTTCGCGACTATGCAGAAGTTAGCCTTTTCGCAGCCTTTCTCAGTCGACATGATAGCGCTACGGTCAAGGTCGCTGTGTCTTCCAATTGGCGAAGCAAGCCGTGCCTGTGTCATGATTGCTGTTACCTCAAATCTGTAGTTTCACGGCGTCGAGGGATAATGACAGCCGAAACACAACACAAGCCTGCAAGATCAACAGACACGCGAGCGCCACCATGATCTGCACCTTGCTGAGCGAGTCGGAAAAATCCCACGAGCTGATCTCCATCCCCACAACCCCAGGTTTTCCCCGCACCGACGGGAATACCCTCGGGCGGCCGTTTCAAGATTGCGCTTCGCGCCGCGGTACGTGGGTGCATGGCCATGATTTACGGGTTTATTATGTACGGAAAGACCGCTTTGGCACTCATTGCTACGATTTCGAACTTTGGCTGTAGCTGCCCTGCGCCTGCATTCCTGGCTTACCATATTCTTATCAGACGTTTCGGTGAGCGATCATGGAGAAAACGGATATTGTGCGTAACGATAGTACACCTGGGACTCTAGAGGAACTCAAGAAGACAGTCACCGTCGATACTGTTCACAATGATGAGGCGCTGAAAGTTCTCGCCCGTTACGCTGGAAGCGAGACTTGGGACCCGGAGGAAGAGAAGAAGGTTGTTCGGAAGATTGATAGAAGACTTGTGACGATTCTGTGTATCACCTATGGGCTGCAGTACTACGACAAGGCTATGCTGTCACAGGCGGTACGTCAGCATCGACGTTTTCGTACCATGCTTTGAAACAAGCTCCTTAGATTCTGTTTCGTGAACAAGGCGAGTCAACGAAGTACCGCCGCTGATTTACCATCCAGGCCATCTTCGGACTGCGAGAAGATCTCCAGTTGACCGGCAACCGCTATTCCTTCTCCGCTTCAATCTTCTATCTCGGCTTCATCGTCGGCTCCTACCCAGCCATTCTCATGGCCCAAAGATGGCCCATCGAGCGCGTGGCCAGCGGAATCGTGGTCGTATGGGGCGTCTGTCTCATGTGCACGGCAGCCTGTACCAACTGGCAGAGTTTGTACGCGCAACGCTTCTTCCTTGGATTCTTGGAGTCCGGCGTGTCCCCAATGTTCATGCTCGTCGTCGGCGGCTGGTATCGAAAGGGCGAGCAAGCGCTCCGCATGGGAGCGTGGTACTGCTGTACTGGCTATGTCTCCGCTGTGTCACCTCTGATCAACTACGGTCTTGGGCATATCACTGGCGGCGGTCTCGCTCCGTGGCAGTACATGTATCTCGTAGCCGGCGCCATTACCGTTGTGTGGGCCATCGTTATCTATTTCGTTATGCCGCCAGATCCGATTCGCGCACGAGGATTTTCGGACAGAGAGCGTTACATTGCCGTTGCGCGTATGCGCGAGAACAACTCCGGCGTTCGCAATACGCATTTCAAGGCCGGTCAGGTCTGGGAGTCTCTTCTGGACATCAGGTTCTGGCTCATCTTCTCCATTGCCTTCCTCATGATGATTGCGAACGGACCGGTTTCCTCGTTCATCCCCATCATCATCGCCGGGTTCGGATACAGCCGCTTGAATTCTCTGCTCCTAGTCATGCCGGCCGGCGCCATCATTGGCACGATTGAGATCCTGGCGCCCCTCGCGGCGTACAAGATCCCCAGAGCTCGCGCCTACATCATCGCGATTTGCCAGACTGGTACGATTGTGGGATCGTGCTTGCTGTGGCTGCTGCCGCGGGAACAGAAAGGCGGCCTTCTCTTTGCATGCTACGTCCTGGCTTCTTTCGGCGGCGGGTACGCGGTCACCATGGGACTCCAGATTGCCAATACGGCTGGCTACACGAAGCGCTCGGTCACTTCGTCGGGCATTTTTGTTGGATATTGTCTAGGTAAGCTGAAAATTCCAGTTGACGTTGCCCGCGGATGGTGCGCCAGAGCTGACATGACCAGGCAACTTCGTCGGTCCGCTGCTATTCAAGCCTGAGGACGCACCGTCGTATGCTCCGGGCTTCATTGCAGTGCTGATTACGGCTGTGATTACGGCGCTATTGGCTATCGTGTACCGGTTCGTCTGTGTTTGGGAGAATAAAAAGAGGGACAAGACTGGGACCTTGGAAGGATTTGAACATGCGTATGAAGATGATCTGACTGATATGACGGTTCGTCTTCTCCTGAGCGCAGTATTGTCATGGAATTCCGGCTGCTTACAGATGCGCAGAACCCGCAATTCCGTTACACCTTGTAGTTCCGCCATGGAAACCAGGCAACGAGTCGGTGGCTGCGGAAGAATTGTAAGACCTACCGGTCAGATCATCAGGAATGCGAGAGCACGAACTGGGTTCACTTTTCGAACCAGTTGACAGAGCAGCCTACACTATACCCATTCGTTACTGACTTCGGAGGGACAGCGAACGTAGCTCATTGTATCTTCGATATTCTGATCATATAGAGTGCGCAGAGCAGCCAAGCCCTTGACTGTCAGGAAATTTTTACAGGCTCGAATTCTGCTTATCCTTCCAGAAGTAACCTGCCGCCAGCTTCAGAAACACGAGCTGCACGCCCGTGCTGATATCGCTGTCCCGCTTGAACTTCGCAGTAAGCGCCTCGCCCTTGGCATGCACCTGCTTGAAAGCATTCCCGCTCTCGTACACCTCCACAGCTCGCAGCTTTGCTTCGCTGTCTTTGTCTTTCATGATGCCATAGTATAGTGTCCCTGGCTCTTGCTGCTTAACGGATGCCACCAGGCTTTCCCAGCCCTTTAAGGCTTGCCGCGATGTGCCTTCCTTGTAACCAAGAGTTGCGAAGACGACGTACGGATCGGCGTGCTGCGCGGTTTCAGCCCGTGTGAACGATGATACCGTTTCGAGGCTGTAGACGACCGGCGCGCCTTCGAGGAGCGTGGAATCAGATCCGACGAATTGCGTAAACGTCGCTATGGGTGGTATCTGCATGTGGGAATCCAGCGCGGCTTTGTCGGCGTATCTGATAAGTGTTAACGACGGTGTAGATTCAACCCAGTCAGAATGCCGCACTCTTCGATCACATATATTGACTTCTCATCTTGCGCGTCCTGGGGTACCGTGATCGCATACTTGAGGACGCCTGGCTCTCGCTCCTGCGAGTATGCCATGATCTTCGACAGGGCATCTAGAACCTTTCGAGGATTTGTTGTCAGCATCCACGCGACACAGGTAACCAAGTCGTAGCCACCTTGCGACGAGCTTCTCCACCACCAGTGGTAAGATGTCCTACTACGACCAATGTCGACATTTTCAGGTAAGAGTATATGGTCTGAGGGAAGTGAACATATACGGTGTCAAATAGATCTTATAGGATAAGCACCGGCTCGTAGTATGATACGCGGCGGCCATCTTAGCTATTGAATCGTAGTTAGACGCACAATTGCATGTGCTGCTAGTACCCCGATTGTTTACCCCGAAATATACAGCTCGGTGACAGTGGAGGATGAAGAGAACCGCTTCGGTTGTCGTTCTCCAGCTCGAGGTGTTGCGGGCTGCTTAGTCAGCTCCGCGGACCTCAGCTACGTGAACTCGAACCCGCGAATCCGCCAACCCTCCAACGTCAATATCTCTTGAATGTTATCGTCATGCATGGTCTAGAGCTTCCTAACTTGGTCTAAAGATTAACCGAGGAAATGTGCTAATAGCGAGGAAATTAACATCCTAACTAAAAGGTGGTGTTGTCGGTGAAATTCATAACCATGGGCCTTGGAGTTCACGTAATTAACCTCACGACGTGCTCTTCTGTGTAATGGAGTCCCAAGTTGTATAGCTATCTAGTATATAGAGGAGCCTCTTCACATACTTGCGCTTCGAGGCTCGCCTTCTGCGCTTGTAAGCGGACCGAGCGGCCCTCACTTCATGTTCTGCCTGGACTGCAACAGAATTGGGACTCCACTTTCATATGCTACCATGTTCCTACCTCGCTACCTGACTTGGTGTCATACAGACAAGAGCAATTTCTTTGAGTACAGAATATGGTAAGGATAGTAGGGACGGGCCTTCTCTACATCATTTGAACCAAAAGGGAACTCTTAAGTCGTTGTAGCACGCCCAAGCAAAAGTCGGGTGAAGAGCCATGACTGGCCGCTGCGGCTGGCCCAGAACCGAGAAATTTCCATTGGTCACGCTGTTTCAGGTCCAGCTGTGGATAAGCCAATTGCCACATTTCCACAAACCAGAGAATTCAAAGAGTCGGGACGGGAATTCACCAGCCATAAGCACGAATTCAAATCCTCCTCTCATGCCACGAAGTCGCCCCCAGCGGCAGCGAGAATCAATCTGGAAGGCGGGATCTGGCTGTCAAAGCCGATACTGGCAGTGAACGAGAACGTAATGCCGATACCCCAAACCACGGTATGCGGAGTCGCCAGGTTGAACGTATTTGCACCATCCAGTGCCAGGCGATGTTCCCCGCTAAGGAAGAGCTGCTTGAACTCCTGAACCTTTGACGAGCCATCGTAGACGTGTACTTCGCGGATCTGGCCCCCTTCGCCGCTGAAAAGGAGGAAGACTTTGGTTAATTTCGTTCGGACATCGTCGACAATAACGGGTGTGGGAAGAGCAATATGAAACCAGCTTGATTTGCCGGCTTTGACGGACATGTCCGCGCCCCAGCCTTGATGACCAACTCGGTTGAGGTTCTCCGGCGACTCCACGGTGAGCGCGTTTCCATGGGTCCAGCTTGCGTGCAGCCTGGGCATGCTGGATTCTGGTGGTCGACCGTTGTAGTCGCCCGAAGTATATGTCCTTATATTTGCTGTTTACCTGAATAGTGTGTGAGATTCAGCAAAATGAAGCAACTCTTAAACGACCTTACCGGGTCTCTCTGATGAATGACCGCTGCTTGATATTGAGTCTTGGTTAGAATATGCTATGCGTTAACAGAGAACTGCACAAGATGTACTGGGTTTGCTTGAAGGGAGGCAGCGGAGGTAGGAGCTGCATCCTTTATAGATTATCTGACATCGTAATGCCAGGTTCAGCTGGGGCTGAAGAATGACCCGCAGCTGAATCATGAAAAGTACCGACCATCCTTTCCTACCAAACCAAATCCGAAGACTTCTCTTACCAAGAACAGGGAGGTTTGGCAAACAGCTGCAGAGGTCAGCTGGAGGCAAGACAGCCCTACGCTTGTTCCCAGCTGAAAAGGCGGACTTGCGGATCCCAGCCACAGCGCGTGGCGGCCGCCGTACGGAGCACGATAGAAACACAATGCCATCGCGTGTTGGGTTGTCAATGTTGTTCAAGAGACCCGATTGAGATGTATCATCGCTCATGCCGAGGCGTGACGCGGACAATGGGTACGGTCATTTGCAAGCGGGCAAGACAAATTTTCCCCAGTCTGACTTCGGTACATGGAAACAAAGTTGAGAACGGGCTCTATGGTTGTATCTACGGTTCACAACCCTCTAGCGCTTCTCAAGCTCGAGTAATTCGACATGAGACAGCTGCAAATGTCGGAGATCTAGGGACCTTGACCATAAATCAGCCCGCACAGCTCATTCCGCCGCTTAAACAGCTAGATCTACCGTCTATCGTATTGTATCCTCACTCTCATCCCCAGAAGCATTCGCAATAGACCGCTCGGCAAGACAACGGCAGTGGATGAGCCACTCCATCATGATGCTGAACAGTGTTGTGCCGTCCTCACCAGCAGCCGCGCTATCCAACGTCTCACTCAGTCTGCCACTCTTCCCGTCGTCCAGCCAACAGCGGTGCACATCATGCCATCGGCACTGACATAGAGCTCGACTGCTCGCCCAGCAGGAGCGCAGAACTGTGGATCTGGCCCCCTCGAAGAGTGGAAGCCTTTAAGATTGCCAGGGAGTATGATCCGATCTGGCACCTGGGCTGAGACGCCGTCGCGTTGTTGGTGCCAGCCTATGCCGGTGGCGTGGTCCGTTTTAAATTATTGACCTCGGCTGACGAGATACCTGGCGACAAGACAGATAAGCGGAACGGTCTCAACGCATACCCAGCAGCGCGAAGACCTTATCTCGAGGGTATGCGGCCTCAAAGTTGTGAGACTGTGAAAGAACCTCCGCTAACTTCGGGCTTTCGTCATTCTTGAGGCGAGTTCGTAACGCGGCCATCTCGCAGAAATGTCTGGTGCTGTCCTGTGGGCGTCGACCCTGACGGCTATCCGCCTCGAATAAGGGCGATCAAAAGACATTAGGAACGGCTCCGTAGTGCAATAGTTCGCCAGGATTGCCCCGAGTTCCCATGTCCTAGATCGATGGATGTATCCGCAAGGGCTAATCCAGGCTTTCTTCCTTTCAATCCAATGATATGTCCGCCGGATCGCTCAAACTGTATTCGAAACGTTAGCCTTTAAGAGCGGAAAGAAGAAGCCGTAGAGAGAGATAGGGATGCAACAATCCAGTCTACCACCATGCAACAAACTTACATGTAAGTCTCAAATGGTATTCCCCGCCACACCTTCTCCTTCCCCTTTTGGTACATCTCCGGCTCAAAACTATGCGCCGCCCACACCTCAAACAGCTTCCGCCAATAGCAAGCCTGCGCCGCCGGTGTGAGGTATCTCTCGCGGAACGTCGCGACGCTGTTATCGGCAATGCGCTGCGCCTCGTCGAGGTGGGAAAGATAGTAGTTTAACTTTTCCTCCAGGTCCGAGAAGTCGGCTTTGACTCTGACATAGTTCTGCCTGGGCCCGTCCGGGATAAGGAGGTGGTGGAAGTATTCCATCCATGTGAGTGGTTCAGGTACGATGACGACGGAGCCACAGTTTAGGAGGTATTTCAATCGCCCGGAGTAACTTCGACCTAATACCCTTCGTTAACCGAACCATTGGACGAACAGAGAGTTATTTCTGTACAGGAAATTGCATACCTTCTGTGTGAATCACGAACATGTACCTGCAATGGTCATGAATCGGCAACATTCCCTTTCTCTTGTCCGGGTCATCATCCCATACAATTAACTCTATGTCTGCCCAAGACCTCCCCTTACTGATTTCCAATAGAGTCTTCCGCTGCTCATTGAGCCCCGCTCCACGCCATACCGCCCGCTGGTCCTTCTCCATGAACAGCCGCTCGCCCTCTGCAATCTTATCCAGCACCCTCTCGTAACTGCCTACCACGTCACCAAGCCAACTCCAATAGCCAAAGTCTGGCATGAGCCACAGATGTTGCTGATCCTCTCGCCGCGTAAGAGCCCATGTAATACCGGTTGGTGTCTCCTCGTCGTTAGGGATATCCTCGATGTTAAAAGAGAACTCGATATTTGGCACGGGGTCAGGGTAGGCTATTAGCGCTCGATGGATGGAAAGCAGAATGGCATTAGACCGCTCTCGAAAGTCGGATCGCGTGCATCCTTTTACCTCGAGGACGTATAGCTATGAAGGCGGGAGTGGGATAAGCCGATGGTCTATGATTTGAAGAAAGTAGGGACATTAAGCGAATATCTCTTTTTACCTGATGATTGTGTATCATTGCGCGTACAGTCCCTTGCCTACTCCAAGCAATGCTCGAGGAGTTTGGCGTGATCTTGCCAGTCTTGTCCTGGTGGTGCCCTGCGCGATCCAGCTCGGGCCAGAGCTTGGCGAAAGCAGCATTGCATTGCGACTGGTTGAGGCCATAGCGACGGGAATCGCGTACCGGGTCGAACGTCCAGCTAAGAGCATCGTATGCCGGGGATTTCGGCCAGGCTTGGCTGGACGCAAATCGGTAGGGCGAGTTGTAGTAGACTCCCACAAAGAGAACGATGATAGCCACGATGAAGACGGCGATAATGGTCACTTGATGCGACCGCCAGAGAGCCATGAACGCACGCAGCCGTCTCCAAGGCTGGAGAGAGAGGAAGGCTCAACGTGTAGAAGAACGACGCGAGTGTGGAAAAGGGTCTCGCTGCGGAGTGGCAAGGTGGGGTTTTGAATTGGCGAGCGGAGATCCTCCGTGATAATTTTCAAATCCACGATACTGTTACAGGATACGAGCATCCGGTGGTTAGCGTAAGCCACTTGCAAGGGTTTCAGTCGCTAAAATCCTCAACTCCATAGGACGCGTTCGCTCCGGTTGGAGCTGTCCATCATGTGAAGAGGTTACATCGTCTATCAAGCACGCACTTCGATAGCCTCCGTCGCATTTTGACCATAGGTATGGTAGTTTCGAGGTTGTTACAGTGTTTGGATAGATCGTTCCCCTACAAAATGACACCCGCCAATCACCGGAAGCTGGCCCTGCATCCTGCAGGTAATATGCGCTAGCAACACGCTCGTGCACCGGCTTCCAAGATTGGTACGAACTTCCTAGAATGGATTAGTTTGTCTGTAATAGTCCCAGCTTGTTCAATGGATAGTACTAGCTACTCTTTTCGAGGAAACGGTTGTTGAGAAGCACACCTACATCATATTTGTATCGCAACGAGTACGGAGAGTTCAAAAACAGCTGCTAAGGCCAGCTGGAAGCAAGACAACTACACGATTTATTCAGCTAAGAAGGAGAGTTCACATACCGCAGCGATAGCGCACCGTGGCGGCCGCGATTCTGACCACAAAGGTGTAATACTCTAGCACATCGCATCATTGTTGCTGCAGGAGAACTGTATTGACGTTTGTTTTATCTCGTGCTTGAGGTATACATGTGGAGGATGGGTGTAGTCATCTGCAAGGGGGCAAGTTAGATTTCCACTAGGAGTCTGCTGATGCTTGAAGGTATCTAGATATGTACTGCTTACAACTGCCTCACATTAAGTTGCTCAAGCTTGGGGACTGCGGTAGGATTGCGACTGTGTAAACATGATCAAGGACCCTTTCTTGGGTGTGATTTTGCGGACCGATTTCGCGTACCTCAAGCCAAGAATCAGCCCGCACGGCTCATCCTTCCGCTTCAACACAATATCTGCCCCCCGTTTTAATTCATCCGCACTCCCGGGTCATCCAACTCCTCTACCACAGTTTAAATCCTCCAGGCACCAACCTCTGGAACACGCCCCTCGGGTCATACCTCCGACTCACCCGTCTCAAGAACGCCACATCCTCCCTTCCATAGCTCTCAATGGGATCCTGCCACGCCGCCGCATAGGGCAAATAGATGAAGGGGTGCCAGACATTCAACCGCTTGGCTTCGGTCGTCGCTTCCGCAATGATGGATTTGAGAGCTTCCCTGACTGTATCGAAGTCGGCCTGCCAGTCAGAATCGGCTGACGGCACGATCCCGGCAGCGACGAACAGGTTGACGAGGGGACTCTCGGATGCATCGATGCCCAAGACGTTGGGGCCCTTCTAAATGCGGAAAGGTCAGCGATGTGTGCGCCTTACTTCGCCATGCTCTCGCGCAGGCTGGATCGATTTGGTGCGAGGTCGTTAGGGGATCTCGGTGGCTAGCACTTTTAGAGGCCGAAACGGCGCGAAACGAAGCACGGGAGTTTCGGTGACAGCCGGTAACCAAGAATGAGTGGCAGTAGCACTGTGTCTGTGCGGGGCTTGTTACTCACGTTGGTCAACATGCTAGATGATAGCGGCTGGAAGAGTACGTTCCAGCTCAGCCCTTGAATGGCCTTCAGAGATTCTGCGGCTGCCATGTTAAGATCGAGGAACCGGTTCAGCGTCGTGGAATCGGGGCGGACTGTCAGCGTAGCGGGGTTATTCAGTTTCCCGGATGTGTCAGATCGGTCAACCTCATCGGCAAAGCTGCTTACGGGCGCCGTGCGAAGCGAGCTGTTGAAGAGCAGTGGAGGTTCGAGGAACTTGTCGAAGGCGTCAGGGTACGGTGTCGCGTTTGTGTAATGGATGTTGTTGATGATTAGCCAGGAGGTGTTGGCGCTCCAGTCGTAGTTGTGGATTAAGTTGGAGTAGGGATCGTAGTTCGGATCCGTAACGAAGTCGATAAATGCAGAGTCTAGGAAACTGGAGCGATGGGAAATACTGTGAATAGTGGTGCCGCCCCAATGAAAGCTCCCTTCCACGGTTGGATAGTCGAAGCGGGTTACCACGCCGAAGTTGTTGGAACCGCCCTTCAAAGCTCGGAAGAGGTCGGAGTGGGAGTTCGCGTTCGCGTTAACAATGGCACCAGATGCGAGAACAACCTGCAGCGATCATAAGTAGGGCCGACCTTCTCCGTCCCAAACACAGCTTACTTCGTAGTTCAGGACCGTGTCGCAGACGAATCCGCTGCGGGGCGAAAAAGTTGACAAGCCTCCTAAATAGGATCAGCCGATATCCCTTATGAACACAGAACAACGCGCTACCTCCAAGAGTAAGGCCACCAGCGCCGACCCCGCTTGCAGACCCCCCGGAAAGTGCAAGATCCAGGCTCTCCAGCCTGGAGTAGACTTCGCCCCAGAGATTCCCGGCACCAACACGCACATGTCTCCGATCGGCTGCAGGAGTTATCTCTTTCAAGCGCGAAAGATCAATGGTAATGCCGTCTTCGATATTGGCGGAACCGACACCAGAATACATAGACGGAAGTCAGTTTGAGGTCCCTACGGCATGATCGTTGGGTGTCTTACCCGCCACTACGGATAGCGAACTTGCAACCAGTCCCGTTGTGTGCGGCACTGTTAACATAAGCCAGCACAGTCGAGACGTCTGCAGCATTTGTAGGGAGCACAATACAGTGAGGTTTAGTTAGGCTCTCCTGTAGCGAGAAGTAGGAATCAAGAGAATTTTGATAGACTGGATCGCCAGGAAAGTGGACCCTGCCCCCAAGGCGCCGTCGAAGACCAGAACACTTGATTCAATTGTCAGAATTTCCCTGATCGATTGCATGATCGACTAATCACAGGGTTAAAAAGGAACGGGTGCATACGCATGTTCTATTAATCGCAAAAACCGGGCTGACAACGAACGTCGTCCCTACTAGGATGGAAAGGCTTGTGGAAAGAATTGTTTTCATGATGAAGAACAGCATTGGAGTGGAAGAGAATGCGGTCAAACAAGCTTTAAAGCTGAAGCAGAGCCGGAAAGACTGCAAGCAGCTGAGTGCGGTACCGCAGCTGAATGGTGAGTCGGCATCTTGCATGCATGTTTAGCTGCATGCATTTAGAATGGACGATAACAGATCCAGCCAGCAAACCTTTCGAGTGATACCCGGATTCTCAAGACCCAGTAAGCCGAGTCACACAGGGGGAAGACGCTGAAGATGGCGCCAAGTTAACATATTGAGGGAGAGATTACCGTCGCGGCGTCATCTACGCATCACGGCGGACAGCGCCCGCTTGCAAACTTGCTGCTTGAGGGTACATGATACAACTTCGTGGGCCAATGTACCGATGTTCGAGTAGAAGATGCGCGGCGCTCAAAGAACGGTAATCAGGACGGACAACAACCGGTAGGCTGCGCGTCCGACAAGTGTTGTCCGAAATCAGCTGCGCACAAGGCTTGGCATAGAGGTGAGGCTTTTGCGGAGCGCGGAGGTGCCGGAGGGCGTTACCTCCTAAGGCTAGCCTAGCACGTCGCAACCAAAAAAGGGCCGACCCCGGAACTCATAAATCTACCCGCTATCACCGTCTAAACACAACAGAATACAGTCTAAATACCTAGCTAGCTAAACGCTTTAAGCAGTGGTTCCTGGGTTAGTGGGTTATACGAACGATCTAGTGTTGCCCGTGGTTCGGCCCTTAGGCCACGATGTGGGCGTTCCACGTGTACCTGCAGGTGGGTATTATTCCGTCACACCTGCATCCTCACGTGACAGCTTCAGGCTTCCAGCAGGCAGTACTGTACCATTCGAGTGATGCGGCAGCTCACTAGGTACAATCATTCTAGTGAGCCAGGCGGAGTGGCCTCGTACTCTACCGGAGGGCCTGTTGTGAGCGAACTCCCAAACAAAAACCAACACCGTCGGCTTTGCGATCTATGTATAACCTCGAAAACTTCGATCAAGAAAGTCAGGTCGATATTGAGGTTATCAGAGGACGCGCAGGGAGGCCCCAGCGAACAGAGTGAGCGAGGCGATTGGAAGGTGAGCCATTCTGCGGCTTGATGCAGCCGCTCTGCAGGTTCTGCAACAGCATCGGGACGTATTTTGAGTTATGTAGTTCTCCCCCAGCAAGCGTCAGTGCAACAGCTGATACTGAACCACAGGCGGTCTCTCAGGGAATTCATGACACGCACAAGAACTAATTAGATTCCCAGGAGACATGGCAAGATGCTCACTATGAGCCAAAGACAACCATTATCAGCGAGCTGGAAGAAGCCTGTGCCGAAGAGCAGTTGAAGGGGCTACGCGAAAATCTAGACATGTTGAGACAGGCCTGTAACCGAAGGTTTCCGGAGATTCACGACATCAGGAGAGATCAGGGAAAGCAACTGAAAGGTACGTCTGTAGTTGAACCGCATGATAGATAGCATGTTGACTGACATGAGCAGACAAAGCGTCGAAGGCTGCTCGGAAACCGCATGCTACGATCCGGTCCGCGACGCAGTTCATCAACAGTAGGGAAAGCATAGGACAGTACTATGAGAAACTGTCGCAGACCAACCCTAACACAAGACGCTGAACCACAGGGGAAAAGTAAAGCTGCAAGCAAGCATTATGACTTCTGTTTAAAAGAACCTTGGCGGCGGTTTGCTGCACGACCTAAGCCGTCCTTCATGACTGGTAGCACAACATCTCTAAGTTCCATCTCACAGCGACCCGGGGAACCCGTTCTGTGCTGAGTTTCCTATGCAATCAGCCTCGGGGTCACTAACTCCCGCGTAAATCTCGCTCTCCACGCTATCCACCAGCTTGAGCCACGCAGCGTCATTCCAAGGCAGATAGTTTGAAAACATCACAACCCCGATCCCCGCCGCGCGATCAACCCACCACTCCGCATTCTTCAGGCCGTACCAATACGCACTACCCGCCTTCCGCCCAACTCTCCCATCACTAAGCAGTCGGTCGTTCCTCGAGACGGCACTGCCTGCGAGTCCAATGCCCACCTCAGGGTCATGCACCTTCAGGTCCGCCGGCACCGCGAGCGGACCGGGAACCCCCACGACGCCCGAGAACGCCACCTCGGACGACAGCTGCGAAGAAAAGATTGCATCCACGGACGTTTTACTGAGCAAGCGTACTCCGCTGGCCGGACACACGCCTCCATTCAGCAGCGTGGCAAGCAAGACGCCATAGTCCGGCGCCGTCATCGCGAGGCCCGAGGCACCCATATAGCGATGTTCATCTGAGTCCGGGAAGAACGGCCCCGGAGCCTCTGGAGTGGGCCCGTTCCACCAATGGGTATCGGCCACGAGCGACCCGTTGGGATGTTTCATGTACGGCGGGAAGACGCGCTTCGAGTCCTGCGGCGGCATGTGCGCGTCGAAGCTCGAGTCACTCATCTCCAGCGGCTGGAAGATTTCGCGCGAGAAGTAGCCAGCAAGGGAGCTGTTGCTGAGCCGTTCGACGAGCACGCCGGCCCAGTCGGTCGCGGAGCCGTAGCTCCAGGTCGTCCCTGGCTGGGTCGTGAGGGGCGTGGTTTTCAAGTTGTTCCAGTAGTCGACCATTTCGCCTTTGGTCGCTAACTCATCGCCCCAGAACTCCTGGAGGAGCGGCTCGAAGAAAGATTGGCTGATGCCGGCGGTGTGGGTTAGGAGCATTCGTGCCGTGATGTTCGTCTCTCGGGGCACCAGGATCGGTTTCTTTCTCCGACCTTCGATGGTGCTGTTTTCGAAGCCGACCAGGATCTGCTTCGAGGCGAGTTCTGGCAGGGTTCGCTCGATGATAGCAGGGTCGTCGAGGTCGAGAACACCGGCGTCGACGAGCTGGAGCAACGCGGTGGAGGTGACGAGCTTGCTCAAAGACCAGATGGACGCGATGTCATCCTCGAGAAGGTCGTGCCTGGCTGCTGGGTTTCCTATTGGCGCGACGCTGCCGGACGCATAAGAGAAGATGGCATGGCCTCCGGCGTTGACGATTCGGATTATGGCGCCGGGGATCTGGGCGGTCTGAACGGCTCTGTCGATGGCTTGTTTGATGTTGACGGTTGCATTGTCTGCGAGGATGATTGATGCGGCCATTGTAGCAAGACTGGATGGTTTCATTCTTTGATGGACGTTCGAGGGTGAAGTACAGTACCGGAAAAGCAGCTCGTGAGCATGGAGAAGAATCTATAGAAGAGTGCTGAAAAACGTGGACTGACTTTGTACTCTGCATAATACTTGTCTGCTCCCGTACTTCGTCAGCTTACCCGCAGCATATAGCTACAGCAATCACAAAAGGTATCATGTTACATTTGTGTACCGCTGAGTCAGCTGATCGAGAGCGTCCTCAATTGTAAGCAGTGAGATTGGGGGCCAGCAGACAGCACATCATCGCATTTGTAACATGGAACGTGCAGCAGTTGCGTGCTTGGTTTGTAACTCGAAGGATTGCCGAACTCAGATATAGCGTATACGCTCCAATCACGATGTGTAGGAAGGTAGGCAGGACACAGATTTGGAAGGTGAAGGATTGGGATCGATGATCCAAGGACAGGACCTAAGGGGACTTTTGGCAGCATCTCCGATAACTAAACAAACACTTCTTCAGGGAGGCTGGTACCCAGATCAGCGTAGTAAGCTTTGTAGGCAGAAGGATGGATCTAGGCTGGGAAAAGGGAGGCAGAAAGCTGTTGTAATTGATAAGACATGCTGTGACTTAAGGTCGAGCGCTGGCTCTTAATGGCAAGAAATCTTTTGACACAGCTATTTACCTACTGCCGCACAGGATTGGCTTGCACTAATAGTAACGAGAACGTTTTCTACACAGTGGAGCTGGTCTCACAGGGGAGTGCTGGTATAAGGAGCGGTACACCTCTGATAGTCCGTTTCACGTGCCTGAAACAACAGCCTTCTATCGCTTTGAGACAACATCTATTGTATCATTAAGATAAAGCCGCATCCAGCGGCACCCCTCAGATGAAACTGCTGCCCGCTCTACCTCTATCCCTGCAGTGCTTATGCCCGTTTATGCACTCCCTTTTCCCTTCCTCGCCTTCAAAGCTCCCTTAACCTTTTCCCACCCCTTCGCGATGTACCCGAACCCAAAACTCCACCCCTTGATCCTAACCGACCAGACAAAGAAATACACCAGCGCCCAATTACTAACACAAAACGCCGCAAAGATCGCCATATACGGCCACTTATCCCCCGGGCTCACATTCAGTGTAGCCATGTACTCCTCTCCCGTACTATACGGACAATACATGCAGCCCGCCGTCGCATCCGGATTCATCAGGTAGCCCTGGGTTTGGCTGACGAAGCCGCCAGCGTAGTCGGCGCAGGTGCCGGCGCCGGGCGGGACGTCGAAGCGCGCGGTTTCGGTGGGCAGACAGCGGACCGGGACGCCCTGCAAAGTGGCAGAGACGACGCCGCCGATCCAGTAGGTGGAGGGGATCAGGTAGTAGAGCCAGTAGCGCCAGAAGGCGGGCATAGAGGCGTAGGGGCGGACGATGCCGTTGAAGAGGCCGAACATTACGAAGAAGAAGGGGAGGACCTGCGCGGGAATTAGGGGTTAGCAAGGATGCCAAAAGGCTGTTGCTTTGTAGGTAGGGTACTCACGTTGGAGATGACGGTGAAGGACGGCGCGAAGGCGCAGATCCATTGGCCCCAGCTAGCCTGGAAGAGGAAGAAGAGCAGCGTCATCAGGAAGACGTAGCCAGCGGTCGAGGAGTCGGTGGGGAGGCCTGCAGGATAGTACCACAGCAGCCAGTAGATGACTGCACCCACTATAGTGATGGGGATCTCGCCGAGGATCTGTGCGGTTGCGAAGGCGAACCAGCCGTAGATCCTGCTCGGCAGCTCGCGGGCCTGCCAGAGCGACATGTTGGTGTAGAACTTGGGGACGACGGCGTTGACGATGGTGGGAGGGAAGACAACTATCAGGAAAGCTGTGAACATTCGGTCAGCTTTAGGGATTCAGGCTTCACATTTGCGCGCAAAAACGATCACAGACTAAGTGGCCGAAAGCAGCATGGATTCGATACGTACCCGTGAACAAACGATTCTGAAAGTCCTGCACTGAGTTGCCCAGCTGGTAGAAGGTGAAGCCGTTAAAGATGCCGATGATTACGCTAACGAACAGCTTGCCGTAGAGGTAGGATGGATCGCGCCAATACTGAGTGAAGATGCGCTTAGTGAGCATGGTAGTCTGCAGCCAGATAGGAGCGGCGAACTCTGTAGGATCCTCTTGCTGGCCGTTCTCATTGGTCTTCGTGCCGCGCTCGCTGCGGATGCGATCAATCTCCGCTAGGACTTGCTTGTTCATTTCAGAGTTCTTCCATTCGGTGTTCCAGTCGATGCGCCTCCCGTCCTTGCCTCTTGGAGACTTAGCAGCGGTTTCTAGAATGAACTCCGCGACGTTTTTATTAGGTGGACACTGCACACCTCGGTCGGCGAAATACTTGATGACATCTTTGCCATTCTCGCCGACAGGTCCAAAGTAGAAAGTGTTTCCTCTTGGATTTAGCGCTAGGATGCTATCAAACTGCTGGATTAGGATCGAGCTAGGCTGGTGTATGGTACAGACGATAGCTTGTCCGGCTGACGCAAGCTTCTTGAGGAATCTGACGATGGAGTACGCAGAATTGGAGTCCAGGCCGCTGGTCGGCTCGTCTAGGAAGAGTAGCAGGGACGGTTTCGCCGCAAGTTCTACTCCGATAGTGACGCGCTTCTTTTGCTCAACGCCGAGGCTGCTCACGAGAGCATCTTGCATGTCTCTAAGTTCTAGCAGGTCAATAATCTTGTCAACGTAATCAAGCTTCTCTTGACGGGGAACATCCTTTGGTTGTCGTAGGATTGCGGAGAACTCGAACGCTTCTCTGATAGTTGCAGTCCCATCATGCAAGTCCATTTGCTCACAGAAGCCGGTGCGGCGCTGAAAGTCGGCGCCCAAAGGCTTGCCATCGACAAGCATGTCGCCGCTGACAACGCCGGTCGATTGACGCTGAGCGAGTGTGTTAAGCAGCGTGGTCTTACCGGCGCCGGAGGCACCAACCAAAGCAACCATCACACCAGGCTTCGCGTATCCGCTGACTTTGTTCAACAGCTTCCGCTCGCCACCTCGATAGGGCACCGTGTACTCGACATCCTTCCAAGTGAACACGCTGTCGCTGTTTGAGATCTCCTCCAATGCCTCTTCTTCGGCTTGACCGTCCAAGGTGTCGCTACTCTGTGAACTCAGGTTCCCATTGGGGACCGCCTTTTCCTCATCTACTGGCTCGGTCTTCACGGCTGCCTTGGCCTTTTTCGTCTTCTTGAAGATCAAGGCGCCTCCCCCACCTGCTGCAAAGGAAAACACCTCCGTCGCAACAGCAGTGATTACGATATAGAGGACGGTGAAAGCGATGACGACACCAAAGTTCCTCCATAAGTTAGAGCGACTGTATTGGAAGGTCGTGTCAAGATATTCTGCACCTGGGACAACCTGGGAGTTCACTGGCGCTCCACTGAGAGCGCAACCCTGATACGCGGGATCGACGCCGGGGCCTTGCGGTACGAGCTGTGAAGGCGCGCATTCCATGACCCGATCGGAGAACTCGTTTGTCAGGACGGCCTCGAATGAGTAGGCGACCGGATTGACGTAGTAGAGCCAGCCAAACCAGATGTATTGGTTCAGCAGCTGAGGTTTTGGAATAACGTATCCGGTGTATATGATCAGCAGGTTGAGTGCGATGCCACTGAAGCGCACAGCTGTGTCGATTTCAGGCGAAAGAGCCGCGAACATCCGGTAGAGTGCCGTGATGCATATCGTTGTGGTGTACACGAAGAGCAAGTAGATCCAGAATTTCGACACATCGATGTCGAGATTGGTCATGAAGTACATGATGATTGAGAAGATAACGACCTGGATGAAAAGCATCGGAAGGTCGGTTACCACTCGTGCGATGCTTACCGCAGATGGTCGGTAGAAAGCGTAGTCCTTATGGCGCAAGACTACTTCGCGGCCGCTGACAGCTTTCATCAGCTCGGACAACTGTAACCAGCCGAGGAACAGAATTGAGAAGAACAAAGAACCGCCTCGAGTGAAGGCTCCTTCGGTAGTTAGAGGTTGACCGTAGAAGAGACTACCGACAATGAGACCGTTGCTAATGATGATGAAAAACTTGGTGATCAAAGTGGTCCGGTCTCCAAAGATCAACCAGAATTCGCGGAGCGTACAAGCCCACACCTGCCGTGGAAAGCTGACGGTGTACGGGGATTTCGGGCGGACGGTTCTATGGCTCTTCTGTTCTTGCGCCGTTCGCTCAAACTCCTTCGCATCCGCGTAGTCGCTCTCCTTGATCTCACGGTCATAAGCCTCAACTTCCTCGAGAACCTTTTGATAGTTGGAGGACGACCTGAACGCTTTCTCAAGCTCCTCAGGACCTTTCGGTGCTTTCGCCTCGTAACCCTCCCTGAAGCGACGCTCGCCTGGATCTGTTACGGAAGTCAAGAAGTCGGGAGTCGTCTGCCTTTCGGGGCAGTAGTACCCAAGCTCTGTAAAGTACTGTTTGGCGTCCTCAGTGGGACCGTAAAAGACGCATTTTCCAGCGTCGATGACGAGCACCTTGTCCATCAGCTCGTAGATGCCCTCACCAGCTTGGTAGAGTGTGGTGATCGTGGTCCTATTGCTGATGTCGGTCATGATGCGGAGTGATTTGGCGTAATCCAGAGCAGTAGAGGAGTCCAAACCACGCGTAGAGTTATCCCAGCACACCACGGTAGACTTGGCAGCGAGGGTCTCAGCAATGCTGACGCGCTTCCGCTCTCCGCCGCTAACGCCGCGAACCATCTCGTCGCCCACTAGGGTGTACTTTGTGTGAGAGATGCCGAACATCTTGAGCAGCGCATCGATGATGACTGGAATTCCGGCCTTGTCACGTTTCTTTGTCTTGTTCAGAAGGGAGAACCTGAGTGTTTGCCAGACATTGAGGGATGCGAAGTGCTTGTCGTCCTCGGGATTGTAGTTGACTTCGCCACGGTACTGCTTTTTTTGCTTCTCTGCGGATATGCCTCCGTACGAGACGTCTCCAGTAACTTCGGCAAAGGTCTCGCGGTTGTTTGCGATGGTCTTGAGAAACGTCGAACAACCAGCTCCTGGCCGTCCAAGCACAAGCAGCATCTCCCCATCCTTGAGAACCCCGGCAAAGTTATCGATAAGCGTGCGTGTCTGCTTATGCTTGCCGATTTTCAATGCGGGGATGAAGTTGGATATTATCCTGTAAAGATCGGGACCAAAGGTACCTAGAACTGCATCCGGTAAGGTTTTAACAAAGGTGGCTGTAGAGCCTGTGCCTTTTACCGTCAGATTCTTCCAGACCACGCCAACCTTCTTCGCTGAGCGGCCTTCTGTGCGCTTTTCGAAGTGGCCTTCCCGCATGAACTGGTCCAGCTCGAATTCTTCCTCCTTGTCTTCTACGGCAGCGGCCTCCAGATCCTCTTCAACTTCTAGCTCTCCAGCTGCCGACGGCGCGCGGTCCGAGCGGCGGGATCGTCTTGTGTCTACTTTACGGGCACTTCTCCCACTGCGACCGCTGATGGTCTGGAAGAGGCCGTTCTCGTCAGGCCTCCGCTGTGATCTGGTCCGTGATAGTGTTGTCAATTCGCGCCTTAGTGTCTCATAGTCCCTCATGGACATGGCGTGGCTGGGTATCCCGACATCTCGTTCACCCCATGTGCTGTTGAGATTGTCCTGATCCCCACCCTCAGGAGTGGGGACCGCTGTCTCGTCGCTTTCTTCCGGCTCATGGGCTCTGTTAGGGTTTTGGTTGCCCGCGTAATTCAGATGCCATGGATTCAGCTGGCCTCCATGCTCATCCCGATGACGGCGCCTGTCGCCCGGCAGGGTAGAAGCCCACATCTTGAAGACTAAGATTTGTTTCTAGAGTAATGAAGAGGTAGGCGTCGTTACGCGAACTGAAGGGCGCACTTGGATTGAGATACGAAACGTAGTAAAAGCGAGCGTTTGGGAGATCGATGCGTGAGGCCCGCCTGATATGGAGGACTCAGAGACTTACGAAGATTGAAAGTGAAAGGGGTGCAAGAGGTGGTGGATCGTAATTACGGGTTAAAGCTCGCACACGCCCTCGGGCAGATTTGTAATGGGAAGACAAGTTAGTGAGTGTTCGATGCGGTTGTGGATAACTGCGTCATGGCGACATTTCCAATGCCGAAGCATAGCCGTTTGGGCCGCACGACGGCAGACACACGCTAGCGGCTGCTCGGCCGAAGATGGAGAATTTCTAAGCGGGTGGGACATCACACTGTCTCCATTGATGCAGCTGTTCAGGCACGAAAAGTGCCAAACGGCGTTGAGTGGCTCATTGTTGAGCGCTGATCGGCCGGGCAGTTGGTTGACTTGGTTGACTCTGCCGGAGTTTGCGGCTTGGCACGTGTAAAAGCCGACGGACGGCGTGCTTAGACCATAGCTTAATTTCAGCCCCATCTGAAACACTAACGCCGGACGTCACTAACTGCTATTGTACCTTATCTTGCACAATGCCGTGTTGCTCCCTAGCTATGCGAACAGTGCCCGATTGGTAACGCGAACCCGTCAACGTCACCATGGCAAAGCCAACAGCGGACTGGGAGAAGGTCGGCACGCGCTTCTACCGTAAGGTCCAGCTGTACACCGCCGTCTTCGACCAGGACCTTGAGCTCGAGAACTACCTTGTAGCAGGGGCGCCCTATAGTGGAGCTGTAGGTAGGATGTATCCCGCAATGCCAAACCGCGGCAGATGCTGACGCGGTCAGTTGGCCTTGCACCGCGATGAGGAGAAAGTCCACGCCTACCGCGGAGCCCGCGCCGCCAAACCAAGCATCGATGTATACAGTTGCGCCGGCAAGCTCATAAGGCGAATCAATGTACGGCTACACTCAATGATGAATTGGAGGGCTGTACTGACGCGGGACGTAGTGGGAGAAAGGCTCTATCAAGGGTCTCGGATGGTCTGAGGATGAGAAGCTACTGGTCGTCACAGAAGACGGGACCGTACGCTGTTACTACGACCTCCAGGGCGACTTTGTCCCGTTCACTTTGGGCCATGTCAGTTATAGCAATTCATGCGCTTGCATACCCCTCTGACCGTGCAATTAGGGCGCAGAGGAACACGGAGTCAAGGCCTGTCGATTCTGGAGTAATGGGTTCGTCGCGCTACTAAACAACAACCACCTCATCTCTGTCGCTCGATACGATGAGCCGCGGCCGAAGCTGCTTGCGATACCTCCGGAGGGTGAAATACACTCATGGACTTTGATACCACCGGCCTACACGCTCTCCCGATCAGTAGAGGTCTTGCTGTCAACCGACAAGACAATATACGTCATAGATGCGTCGGACTCGGAAGACCGGAACTACTCTGAAGGCCCATTCGTTCATATGAGTGTATCTCCGAATGGCAAGCTCGTGGCGCTTTACACCAACAATGGGAAGCTGTGGGTTGTTGGTAGCGATTTCCAGGAGACATTGAACGAGTATGACTCACGTTCGAAAACCATGCCTAAGGACATGCATTGGTGCGGAAACAACGCTGTTGCACTCGCTTGGGAGGATGAGATCCATCTCGTGACACAGGGTGCCGCTACAAAGTAAGCATACCAACGACCATTGCACGAGAACGCAATTAAATCACACCTTGCAGATATTATTACGACGGCTGGGTGCATCTGATTCCGGATGTTGATGGCATTAGAGTTCTCACCAACGATGTCTGCGAGTTTTTACAGAGAGTGCCGGGTAAGCAGTCAAGCTCGGCTTGCGGACTTCTTGCTTACATCTAGGCAGATGTCACTGAAGAAACCTTCCGGATAGGCTCAACCTCGCCCGCTTCTATTCTGCTCGACGCTGTTGATCAACTGGAACGCAAGTCACCAAAGGCAGATGACAATATCCAGCTAATCCGTCCGAACCTCTCCGAGGCTGTTGATGCGTGTGTTAAGGCGGCAGGACACGAATTCTCTATCCACTGGCAGAAGCAACTGCTGAAGGCTGCGTCGTTTGGCAAGTCAGTGCTTGACCTCTACAACAGCGACGAGTTTGTTGAGATGTGCGAGACGCTTCGCGTGCTCAACGCGGCTCGATTCTACGAAATCGGTCTCCCCTTATCTTATGAGCAATATCAACGCTTGACGCCTGAGAAACTCATTGAGCGGCTCATCAACAGACACGAATACCTCCTCGCACTACGCATCTCAGAGTATCTGCGCTTACCATCAGACCGCATCTATGTCAACTGGGCCAGCCAAAAAGTCCGCCAGTCTACCGAGGACGAGGAATCTATCTGCCGGTTGATCGTGCAGAAGCTGAACAACAAACCCGGTGTATCCTTCGAGGAGATTGCGCGCTCTGCTTACGACGAAGGGCGCGTCCGCCTCGCCACTGAGTTGCTGAATTACGAGCCTCGCGCAGGCAAGCAGGTCCCGTTACTGCTGAGCATGAAAGAAGACACCATTGCCCTTGACAAAGCTATTGAAAGCGGCGACACCGACCTCGTCTACCACGTTTTACTGCATCTTAAGAAGAAGCTTCCACTTGCACCGTTCTTCCGCACCATAAACTCACGGCCCATGGCAATGGCTTTGGTCGAGTCCTCCGCCATCGACCAAGACCGCGAGCTGCTAAAAGACCTCTACTACCAAGACGATCGCCGCCTCGACGGATCCAACCTCCTCCTCTCAGAAGCTCTCGCCCAAGAGCACCCCCAAGCCCGCCTGGACAAAATCAAACTCGCATCCCGGCTGCTCCAAGACTCGAAGGAAAACGCCTTCCAGCTCAAGATGCTCGACGAAACCGCCCGCCTCCTCCGCATGCAAGAGCACTTCGACAAAGACCTGCACAGCGACGCCAGCCCCGCCGGCATGCGAACCAGCGGCCCCAGCTTCGTCGGTCTCAGCATCAACGACACGCTATTCGAGCTCCTAAAATCCTCGCATGTCAAGCGCGCGCTCAAAGTGCAGTCCGAGTTCAAGGTCCCCGAGAAGACGTACTGGTGGGTGCGGCTGCGCGCGCTGGTTTCCGCGCGGCACTGGAATGAGCTAGAGGAGGTGGGGAAGGCGCGGAAGTCGCCGATTGGGTGGGAGCCGTTTTTCAACGAGGTGCTTGGGGCGGGGAATACGAGGCTCGCGAGCACGTTTGTGCCGAAGTGTACGGGGTTGAGCCCGAGGGAGAGGGTCGAGATGTGGGTTAAGTGTGGCATGGTGGGGAAGGCGGGGGAGGAGGCGCTGAAGGCGAAGGATGTGGAGTGTTTGAGGGAGTTGAGGGAGAAGGCGACGGGGAGCACATTGAGTGAAATCGATAAGATGATTGCGCAGCTGGAGCCACGGAGGCGGTGAAGGTGAGTTAGTTGTGCAGTCGGTGCTGGAGAGCGGGAAGATACAGTATGTAGCATTCAAGTGCGGCTAAATATGATCTATTGTTGAGGGTTCGAATACTAGTTATGCAGCTCCCGGTGGTCGAAGCAATAGTAGGAAGACGTCGAAGCCCTCACTATCTATCGTTCGAGAGATATTCCCAATCCATCGCCAATCCGAATACTTACTCCAGACTCCCGCCAGAACGCTCAGACCTTCGTGCCATCGTTATCCGCCTTCCAGCCTGCGCTATGATCACTCCAGTCCTCTTCTCTCAATTCACAGTTACCTCCGCCAGCGGATTGACTCTTCGTTCACCAAACCTCGCATAGTCGCCCCCAACCTTCTTCCTGAACATACCAATCTCCTTCAAGAAGTCCTCGGCATGCGCATGCAGCTCTCTCGCGAACTCCTCTCCCTCGTCCTCGTAGCCCTCATCTTCCATCATCATCACCTCATCCCCCGCATTCTCCTTATCCTCCTCGTTCCCACCATGCTCTTCGCCCCCCTCCGGCGTCACCGGCTCACTATCTCTGGGTGTCGGCAAAACAATTGGATTCCTCAACTCCCCGACCACAAGTCCCAAATGCCTCCTCAGCGCCTCCCCCTCTCCCCTGAGCCTCTCACACAACGGCCTCAACTCCTCAACCTCAGCAGTCAAACTCCGAATCTTCGCCTCGCTCACTAACCTACTCTCCTCCATCATCCGCTGCATGCGTCCAACCTGCTTCTGATACTCCTCCAGCTCGGTCGCCTCCTCCCGCTTCCTCGCCACCGTGGCCGCATGGAACGACGTCTGCAGCGCAGCGATCGTGGCGGCCATCTCGGCGATCTGCGCGTCGCGCTGCGCGGCGGACACGGCGTCTTGGTTCACGGTCGCGCGCGTGCGTATCATTTTCGCTTGGCTGGCATAGCGCAGCGTGCTCAGCGTCTCGTCGTAGTCGGAGGGCGCGATGCAGGCCACCATTGCCGTCTTGGAGTTTCCGCCCAGCGAGTCTTTGAGCAGCCATGTGAGGACGGAGTCGCGGTAGGGCACCACTGTCTCGCCAGCAACACTCCTCTTGCTGGGTTTGCCGGAGGCGAAAGCTGCGCAGCGTTTCGGATCGGCTAGGGCGGCGATGACGCGGCCGAGGGTTGTCAGGGATTTGTTGATCTTGCCGCCCTCGACGAGACGCTGGCCTGTTGCTTCCGTCGCTTTTGCGCGCTCGGAGCCGGCGAGGTCGACGAGCCGCATGCGTGCGGACCGCTCGATCACGCTGTCGGTTGTCATGCTGTGCTGGATCTGCTTCAGGTGGATCGTGAACACGGCGTGGCTCCTGCTGGAGCTATCGTTCATCTTCGTCGCCGCGGTCGTGCGGTTCGCATCGCCGATGCGGAAGAGGCGTGAGATGTCGGCGTAGCTGCGCACCGCGACGTCTGTCAGGCCCTGGATGTATACGCCGTCGGCGGGGGATTCGCGGATCTTGAGGTAGTAGGCTGCTGGGTCCTTAGGCTGGCCCCCGGAAGAGGAGGGCCGCGAGGCGAGGAGGTCGCGCACGTGCTCGTTGTAGATCTCCAGGTACGAGACGTGCACGTTGTAGGTTGTGTTTGGCGTCGGGTCGCTCTCGATGCGGTGGAAGAGCTCCTGGCAAGTTCGTGGGATGAGCCCGGGCGCCTCAGGCGTGCCCATCATGGTGTAGGATTTTCCGGACCCGGTTTGTCCGTACGCGAAGATGCAGGTGTGGTAGCCGGCGAAGTTGTGGTCGAGGAACTCCTCGCCGAAGGAGCGGTAAATGGCGGACTGGTCTGCATAGTGGGAAGAGGTGGGGTCGTGCGACCAGAAGGACTTGTCGAAGGTGAAGGACTTTTCTTCGTAGATCTTGCGGGAATTGCTGCGTGCGTTGGCAGGGTCGGTGTCATTGGGAACGAGAAGGGTGGTGCGCTGCGTGTGCGGGTCCATGCGGATGAGGCATTCGGCACCACGCTCGATTTCTGAGGAGGTCAGCGTCGAGTATGTGTATAGGGTCTTGGGAGTATTGAGCAATACAGACCTCTCTTTACATGCCTTCTCACGCGCACAACGACCTTGACATTTCCTCCCTCCTGATCCGCCATTGTGTCCGGCGTGGCAGCTCTCTCCGGCGCGCGCAGCGATGGTGTTGACGCTGTGGACTCGTAGTAGGGCGAGATGCTTTCGGACGAGATGCCACGGTACAGGCGGGGGTCCATGATGTCGTCGAGCAATTCGAAAGCGTCGGTGAGCAGCTTCCGGGACTTCAGGCGGCGGAAGGTGTGCATTGACGTTGCGCACTGGCGCTGGAGCAGGTGCGTTTGATAGACGGCGTTTGACTCGCCGGCCTGAAAAGGTTAGAGAACAACAGTCGACAGTCGGCAGTCGGCCCGTTGCAGCGCCAGCCGGACGGAAGCTTGGGCGAAGTTCGGAGACGAGAGCGCCAGACCCACGTCAGTTGGTATGATTTTCTAAGAATGGCATAAGAACTGCGAGGCAATGCTCTATATTCGGCCGGGTTTGGAGGATGTCTTCTTCCTCTTCGTCGGGGCCACCGTCCTTGGCTCAGATATTCTTAGCTCGCATTCCAGTGGCAGAGCAACCGGCAGCGATCCAGGAGCTCACTGCAACTCTCCGCGATGTTCATGATGATGGCGCTTTTACTACTGCACGGCTGGCTGCGCAGATGCTTTGCATTGTCAGGAATGATGCTGCTCTAGACGACATTACTCACTGGATCCTTGAAACCATAGGGACCAGCAATGGAGATACTGCTATTCTTCGTCGGCTTGCCGATCTCTGCAATGACAGCCTCTTGCTCAGAGAGGACGTGTTCAAGCATATACACAGCATTTTGGAGAGCTTGGTAGACTCTAAGCAGATGTGGGCTGGTCGGCCTCTGCAAGATCCTTCCGATAGTCAGCTTCCGTCTCCAACAACCCTTCAGCGTCTCATCTCTTATCTGTCATTCTGCAAGGTCTTCTTCTGGTCCATCTCAGATAAGTCATGGCGTGTAAGCCACAGCATCTTCTCCTCCTTGCTAGCACTTGTCGGTGCTACCTCTCCTGAAATCTCTACAGCCTCCAGAGACGCTTTGTTCGCGCTTTTAGCTGCATCGCAGGACGACAAGTGTACTGGAATTCGGCATAGGAATGTCTCGGCTTTAATCTGGAAACGGATTCGCGAGCTGTTATCAGATTCCACGGAACACCGCGCGACCTACAGCAGCACAGCATGCAGTCTGTGGCTGCGATGGCTTGCGCTTCAAGAACCCCGTGGCCCGCCGAATACATTCATGAACGACAAGTACTGGGAACTGCTACAAGAGGGTCTTCGCACAGGGTACTCCGAGCAACGTAAATACTGTCTTTCCATTCTCAAGACTTCCGTTCAGATACTCAACATTGACTTGGACGCCCCTCACATGACGCTTCAAATCCGGGCAAAAATGGACTATGTACTCCACTTCGACAAATACATCACAGTATTCGAGACTATCGTTCTAGGCCGATATATGAATCAGGTTGAGGAGTGTCTTCCAGATCTGCAGATGCTATGCTCTTCCAGCTCCAGGATTCATCCGACTTGGATGAAGACACTGCTAGAGGCCGCATTCCAGCAGAACATCCAGGATGGCATCCGCAAGTTCGTCGGGAACTGGCTCATGGATTTGTCGAGTCTTTATCTGGACCTGGATCGACCGACTCAGGAAGGAGGCCACAGACTGCTGATCACACTCATCACTCAGACATCGCCGAAGAATAACATCATTACGCAATCGCTGCTTCCTTGGGCCACACAAGGCTCTCTGTTTACCTCCAGCATTCGCAGCACGCAAGACAATCGCACCGTTTGCTGCGAGCATGGAGAGAAGCTCTCAAGCTTCATTGAAGGGCTACTCCGCCGATGTCCCGACAACACCATCCGCTCCCTGCATTTGCGCACGCTGCTTACTTGGTTACATGATACGAGCATCGACGGGAGACTCTTTCCCCACGCAGCTGCCTACATCGTCGATGGTCTGGTTCGCGGCGCGGGGCTTCAGGAGCCCATCTGTCGTATAGGTAAAGGAGCGCCTCTTGATGTGGTCGTACCTGGCATCGAGCAGCAAGACTTGGAGCTTTTAGTCAAGATTGCAACACGCACTGGCCTCCCGGAAGTCGTCCGGGACTATCTTGTAGCACTTTGCTTGCGTATAGAATCCTTATTGAAGCGGACGTCGCCAGGCTCTGCTATGGAAGGTTTCACTTATACTACAATGCTAGCAAGGCATACCTGGCTTCTTGCTCCAGTGACAATCGAAAAACTTACGGCACTGGAGCTACAGAAGTGGCTAGTGCATGCTGCTATCGAAGCGAGTGGCCCCTCAGCTTCAGCGAATAACCACTATGATGAGGATGAAAAGGGTAAAATAATTGTCGATCTTGGTTCAAGGAATCTATCATTGACAGAATTCATCAAGCCATTAGTGCTAACGAATTACGAACTTCTTCACGGCAGTGGTCTCAATAGAAGTTGTCGATACCTGTTCCTGTTATTGAATAACAATAGTTCGGATACAGTACCGTCGAACCTCCTGCTCCAAGCGCTGGAGGCAATCTGGAGTGAAGTTGAACGACAGGACTATCCCAAGCAGTCCTTGATGGAGGTACCGAACGTCTTCTTCCACCCTACATCGATCAAGCTTAGCGTTGATGCGCCAGAACTCGCGGCGCTGCTCTCATCTACCTTAGCCATACTGCAACAGCTGTGTGATGGCAGAATATACGTCTTCTCACCGCTCGCCAAAGCTTTGAGCAACGCGTATCGTAAGGCTCCTGAAGTCACTAAGCTCCTGCCATTTGAAGACTTCATCGTCCAGATAGCGAACCATCCACCATCGCCGAAGCTGGAGTTCCTGTTGGATTCTTCCGTAGCTGAGAAGCTGGAACAGATTGCACCACACCGGACCTACTCGTTCTACTACGGACACCATCAAAGCTATGGTTACGCGTGCATCTTTGACACCCTTAACAGCCTGAGAGTTACGGACCATGCCGTCGGCAAGCGAATCTTTGATCGGCTGCTTGAGCCCTGGGCGAACCAGAAGATGCCAATCTCCATTGTCAGCAAGTGGAAGAAGACAACGCAGCTGCAGACAATGCTTCTACTCTTGGACACATGCATGTCTACGTCTACATCCGAGGAGTTGTCTGCCTACCTTCGCTCACTACTGTCCATAATATCCATCGAGCCTCTTCCCCGGTACCGATTCCTCCTCGAATGGATCATCGCCCGCATCTACGTTCAGCACCCAGACCGCCGTCCAGACCTATTGACTCTGATATCAACCAAAGACCACTCGAACCCGAAGTACCTCGCTTCCATCATGAAGCTAGCAGTCATGATTGCCCGCGTGGCAGACTCGCCCGAATCATTCGCTCTCAAACTGATGACGCAACTCGTTCCGCTCTCCGCCAGCTCCAAGATCATCATCAGACACGAAGCACAGTGGTCCTTCCCACCGCTGTGGGATCACGCCGCCGAGCGTGACTGGACCAGCATCACGGAGAACCCGGCGTTCGCTGCGCTGAACGATAGTATACGAAGCCACGAGAAGTACTTGGCGCCTCCGCCGGGTCGCTCGCTGGAGTGGCTGGATCCTGTTGACGATCATAACCTTGCGACGCTGTTTCAGGGCGGATATCTGCGGATGGAGCCTGCTGAAGGGGAGATCGTACGGGTTGAGGACTTTGAGGAGCTCTGGGCGGAGAAGGAGAACACAAGGTCCGGAGAGGGAGCGGAAAAAGCCATGCCACCGCCACGCGTGCCACTCGGTCGCCGCAAGCCTCAAGCCCCTTCGACACCTGCAGCAGCGCAAGAAACCGAGTCTCAGGATACCATAGCACACGCTCCCTCCCTCCTCTCCCCCGCCACAGCAACAACTCCAACCCCCCTCCAAACAAAACCCCAGACCCTCCCCCTCCTCTCCCCCTCCCGTCCGCTGTCCACGGATCCCCTCGACCCCTCCACCCGACCAACGCCCCTCATTATAATCGCCTCCCTGATAGCCAACCCGCACAACCTAGGCGGCCTGTCCCGCATCTCCGAGATCTTCGGCGCCGCCTCCCTCCACCTGCGCACCACGGCAGTCCTCACGGACCGCGACTTCCTCGCCGTATCCGTCTCCAGCCACCTCCACCTCTCGATCCACGCCCTCCCGCCCACGCCCTCCTCGCTCCTGCCGTTCCTGCGGGAGCGTAAAGGGGAGGGGTATACCGTCGTGGGCATCGAGCAGACGGACGCGTCTTTTGTACTCGGGGCGCCTGGGACGAGTGTCCCGCGGAAAGCGGTGCTGGTCCTCGGCAGCGAGAGGGAGGGGATTCCGGGGTGGTTGTTGAGTGAGATGGATGCGTGTGTGGAGATTGGACAGGTGGGGCGGACGAGGAGTCTCAATGTGCAGACGGCGGCGGGGTGTGTGTTGTTTGAGTGGTGGAGGGAGCATGGGGGCGGCGGTGGTGGGTGAGGGAGTAAGGAGTGCTTGAGGGCAGGAAGGTTAGATGGGTGTGTGTGTGAGGTGGTGGGGCGGGGTAGAGATGGGGAAGAGATGGAGCGGGGCATCGGGGAGACCGTTTGGGTAGATAGATTGGAGAGCAAGCGCTCTTTACGAGTTACACCTGTGGACTGGTACAACTCTTTCTGGTCATACAAGCTGGAACGAGACGCACGTGAGGATTGTGGGTTTGCTTCTTTTGATGTTCATCCTTGGCTACAGGTACAGTCTGAAACCAACGCCCTTGCTTACATGCAGTTACAATGCACATTCTCCTCTGCTCAAACGCGTCAAACGCCCTCTACAATACAAGATCAAATGACAGATGTGACGAAGTGGAGTGGAGTAGGGTAGTAGCAGGGGTTGGGTGAATGTACATTGGCGAGCATGTGTGTAGCTGTACACAGGAAGAGAACTTGGCGGATAGCTAGAGACGCATCGAAAGAGGTCGGTGGTCCAGTGCACTGCTTTAAATTTTTGGCAGAGGTGCGGTCGGGGAGGCATCAACAGGAGCAGTCGCCGGAGGCTTTACTGGAGGATACGCGTCACCAAGCCGGTAGCGACGGTCCGCCCGCCCTCGCGGACGTTGAACCGCTGGCCCGGCTCGACGGCGAGCGGGTTGTGGATCTCGCAGATCATCTCGACGTTGTCGCCGGGCATGACCATCTTGGAGTCTTCGGTGCCCTCGGGCCATGTCAGCGCAGCGGCCTCATCTATAACACGCTAGTCAGACGCGTAACCCATGAAGCGCTCCAAGTTGGGCACTCAGTACTCACCGGCTGTCCGCATGAAGATCTGAGGCCGGTAGTTGTTGTGGAATCCGGTGTGACGGCCGCCCTCCTCCTTCGTCAGGACATACATCGAGCACATGAACTTTTTGTGCGCCTTGGTGGTTCCCGGCACCGCAATGATCATGCCGCGCTTGACGTCGTCGCGCTTAACACCGCGGAGGAGAAGACCGGAGTTGTCGCCAGCACGCGACTCGTCGCAGGACTTCTTGAACGTCTCGATGTCTGTGACCTTTGTCCGGATCGGGGCGTTGCTCTTGCCGACGAGCTCGACTTCCGAATCCTTCTTCAATACGCCACGCTCCACGCGGCCGGAGGCGACGGTGCCACGACCGGCGATGGAGAAGACGTCCTCGACAGACATGAGAAAAGGCTTGTCGAAGACGCGCGTGGGCGTCGGGATCCAGGTATCCACAGCCTCAAGCAGCTCGTCGATCTTATTGGACCCGATCTCCGGCTGCCTGCCCTCGAGCGCACACAGCGCCGAGCCCATAATAATCGGCGTCTCATCGCCCTCAAACCCGTACGACGAGAGCAGCTCCCTCATCTCCATCTCCACGAGCTCCAACATCTCCTTGTCCTCAATCGCGTCGATCTTGTTGACAAACACGACGATCTTCTGCACGCCGACCTGCCGCGCCAGCAGCAAGTGCTCCCGCGTCTGCGGCATCTGCCCGTCCGACGCCGCCACGACGATGATGGCGCCGTCCATGTTCGCGGCGCCGGTGATCATGTTCTTGATGTAGTCGGCGTGGCCGGGGCAGTCGACGTGCGAGTAGTGTCGCGCTTCCGTCTGGTACTCGATGTGGGCGGTCGAGATGGTGATGCCGCGCTTGCGCTCCTCGGGGGCTTTGTCGATGGAGCCATAGTCGAGGAAGTTGGCGAAGCCCTTTTCGGCTTGTCGCTTGGTGATTGCGGCTGTGAGGGTGGTCTGGGTTGGTCAGTTAGGCCGGCTTGCGATGGGGGGCGTAGGGAGGCAATTGTACCTTTCCGTGGTCGACGTGGCCAATGGTTCCTGCGCAAGTCAGTATGCCATATGAAGAAGCAGCTGAGAGCAGACATACCAATGTTGACATGAGGCTTGTTTCGCTCGAAGACGGTGGCGTAGTTTCTTACTGCTTGGACATATCGAGCTCCACCCTGGACGCCCAAGGCCTGCTGCACGGGGTTGACGCCGGTCCGCTGCCGCAACGCCGCGCGGGAAGTGCGTAGGAAAGCCTGAGCAAAGGGAGACATGGTGCACAACGCCCAAGAACGAAGGTAAGAGAAGACAATGAAAGAGTCGAGATGCGGGATGGAGTCGATGGTATTATTGCCTGTCGAATGACCCTCACGAAAGATTTCTTAGCGCGATCTGGAAGATGCCCCGTGCACGTGCCATCCTCGAGAGCAGAGCTACAGCATTTCGAGCAGGAAGACATCGGACGCTGGAAAACCGTAACCGGTGGCAGAAAGCACATAAATCCCTACACGCCTCAAGTGCCATCCTGAGAGACTGTCGCTTCCACTCCGCATCCTCCGCAGCATCTTTCGAACGTGTTTCCACTGACTTGCTAAACCCCCGTATACCCGAGGTCCGGGGAGTGTCAAAAGATTTAGCTCCCATCTACACGTCAATTGGCGCATACACCCAGCCTTGATGTCTATCAGGACCTGCATTCGACAAACAGCAACTCCGCTGAGCTGGTTCTCGCGGACAAGACCAGCGACCATGCCTCTGCGAGCCAAAATCCTCAATTCTGCTGTCAGCGGGAACAGAAGTGTCGGTACACCACAGTCATGCGCAGGATTGATAGATCGCTGACACCAGAGTAGTACTCGATGGAGAGCGATCTAGTAAAACCGCAGCCAGGCGATGAGGGGGACGATGTGCTCTTCAGCTCGATATACGGCGTGCGGACCGTGGAGCTCAACCGGCCGAAGAAGCTCAATTCTCTGAACGGATCAATGGCGCGGAAGATCATCGCACGGTTAAGAGTGCGTCCCCTATATTAGGGGGCTATGCCGGGAGAATTGGCTGACACGAAATCGCCGGCAGGAATGGGAAAAGTCACAGCTCGCGAACGTGATAGTCATCAAAGGCGCCGGACGAGCCTTCTGCGCCGGCGGCGACGTAGCAGCGCTCGCAAAGTGGAACACCGAAGGCCCGGAAGGACAGCAGAAGTCGAAAGACTACTTTGCCCTCGAATACAAGCTCGACCATCTCATCGCTACCTACTCGAAACCGTACGTTGCGTTCATGGACGGCATAACGATGGGCGGCGGCGTTGGGCTGAGCACGCACGCACCGTTCCGGATAGCGACTGAGAACACCGTTTTTGCCATGCCCGAGACGACGATCGGGTTCTTTCCGGATGTGGGGGCGAGCTTCTTCCTGACGCGGATGGACGGGAACATGGGCACGTATCTCGCCTTGACGAGCGAGCAGCTGAAAGGGGAGGACGTCTTGTATGCCATTTTGCCAGAACCGCCATCACGGGACCATTGTACACGCTGACCAACATGCACCAGCTACCACAACATCGCCACCCACTTCATCCACTCCTCCTCCCTCCCCGACCTCTCCGCCCGCCTCGCCGAGCTCAAATTCAAAGACTACGACGACCTCCTCCACCGCTACCAGACCATCAACTCGACAATCGAAGAATTCGTCACCGGCCTCTCTTCCCCGCGCCCCACCATCTCAGGCGACCAACGCCTCGCAATCGATCAGATATTCAACCCGCACCGAGACATCAAGGCCATCCTCTCCGACCTCTCCAGCATAACCGAGAAGCCGTATGGCGCCGGCCTAGCCGACTGGGCCGCCAAGACCGCCCACACGATGCAGCAGCGCTCGCCGACGAGTGTTCTTGTGGCGCTGAAGCAGATGCGGGATGGACGCGGGTGGGATATCGCGGAGACGTTCCGGCGCGAACACCTCATCGCGAGCCGCTTCATGGAACATCCCGACTTTGTCGAGGGCGTCACGGCGCGGTTGGTGCGGCGGCAGAAGGAGCGGCCGAATTGGCAGCCGGGCTCGTTCGAAGAGGTTACGGAGGACATGGTCGAGGGGTTCTTCGCTGGGGAGCCTGAGTTGCAGCTGCTGAAGGAGCAGAGCGAGCGGAGCGCGTACCGGGAGTATCCGCATCAGAGGGTCGTCGGGTTGCCGACTGAGCAGGAGTTCGCGAACGCATTGAGGGAGGGGACGTCGAGAGAGGGGATGGGGCAGCTGTTTGCGCAGCAGACAAATGCCAAGGTTGGCGTGCAGGAGAAGTTGGGGGAGTATATGGAAAGGAAGGAGAGGGCGAAGGAGTTGGGGATCAAGGGGTACTAGAGGTTGCGTCTGCATTGTGTATAGGAGCTCGCTTGTCTGGTCTTGTCTCTCCACCATGGCATGTTTATGGTTCTAAGTTCGCCCACGGACTGGAGCTGACCACACCGAAACCAAGTTCGTTCATATACTCCATCTTTTCGTCTTAGAGCCTGCAAAGTCTGTATAATGGACGGACAGCTGCCTCTGCAACGGTCTTGTATGATTCGAGGTCCAATCAGAGGTAAGTTCCAAACTATGTAACGACGAATGGCGCTCGATCCAGCAAAACACTAGAGACAGGAAAGTAATGAGTACGCGAACATACAGATCCAGTGGAAATATATGCAAGAAACGGCAGAAACAGAAAAGCACATGTTGCTCAGACCAACGAAAATATCGGAGAGAAAGCGCGAAAAATACCCCAGACCCCTTGAAACACCATGCCAAAAGGATCCACCACGCAGCACACAAACCGCCTCCCCACTTCCCACCTCTCTATATCTAAACCCCAACACCCTATACACGACACCTACTTCTTCCACCCCAACTTCGACCTAATCCCCCCCGCACCACCCCTCCTCCTCGTCTCCCCCTCCTCCCTAGCCGCAACAGGCTCCGGCCTCGCCGGTTCCGCAAACCTAATATTCGTGGCCCGACTCTCCTCCTGCCTCTGACGCTCCCTCTCCCTCTCCCGCTCCCGCTGCTGCTCCATCGAAGCGTGCGGATCCCTGCGCCCAGTCTCCGGGCGCTCGTCATCGCTCGTCTCGCTACTGCTGCCACCGCGGTCGTCGTCATCGTAGATCCCCAACGCGCCTTCTCTGCGCCGTCGCTCAGCTGCGGTCTCGCCTGCATCCATGTTCGTGGGCTGACGCGCCGTGTTCGGCCTGTCGGCGGTGGAGCTGTGTCTGCCGTTTCCGTTACCGTCGGAGCTGCCTCGTTCGTCTGGGGCCTGGCCCTGGCCGGCTGTCGAGGCCATGCGTCGGCGCCGCTGTGCCGCTGTTTCTTCTTTTGCGGAGAGGCGGAAGTTGGCTAGGTCGTCGGCGACGGAGTGGAAGGGGATGTCCTCGTCATTTGAGGTTACGAGGGTCAGGCCTTCTGGACCCGCTGGCTTGTCTTCGTGGCTCGCGAACTTGATCATTGGCTCTGAGCCTCGATGCTGCTGCGGCACCTCATCTTCGTCATCCTCATCGCGCTCGGCGATGACGTCCTGTTGCTGGGTCGGGCGGCGACTCTGGGGGCTCGGGCGGTTCTGCTCGGCCGTGTTGGCGCGGCCGCGCTCATGCAAATCCCGTCGAGCCTCGCGCTTCACCATTTCCGGCGCATCTGACTCCTCGACGGCCTGCGCGCGACTCTTGGGATCCATATTCCTAATCTCTCTCAGAAAGTCGGCCTTGCTCATGCGCTGCCCCCCGGTCGTGACCGTGAAGCGGATCTGCTGGTCGTCGTCTTCCTCATCCTGCTGCTGGCGCTTGCGCTTCTCTTCTCTGCGCTTGTCATCTTGCTGCGTGGATGAGGCCCCCGCCTCGGCTTCCTCGTCCAGATCATCGTCCTTGTGGTGCTGCGGCATGCCGAGGTAGGTGCCCATACGCTGGAGTCTCTGCCTGGTTCGCTCATCCACGAATGAGGTCTTGCGGTCGCCGCTGGTGCCGGGACGCTTGGGCGCGTCGATCTCGTACTTCTTGATGACCTCGCCGTCCTCATCTTCCACGATGACGGTGTTGCCGAACTGGTACGCGAAGGCCGGACCGTGCGTGCGTTTGGCCTCCTTGGGCGGGTCACCAGGCTTAGACCCCGCGACCACGCCCTCGGCACCGCTCTTGCGCCGTTCCATCATCTTCTTCCGCATGTCGCGCCAGTGCCGCTGTGGATGCTCGACTGCGTCGCTGACTTCGCGCATCAGCTTCTTGCCGTCGTCTTGGCTGTAGTCGTTTTCGGTCTGCGCGACGCCGCCCTGGACGTCCTTCTCCACCATCTGGTTTCGGCCCTCCTCCTTGGCCATCTTCCTGCGTTCTTCGCCCGTGGCGCCGTGGGTGTCTGTCACAGAGAGCACGTTGCCCTCCTCATCTTCGATCACCATGTCATCGCCCTCCTGGAACACCTCCGCTTCCGGCTCACTCATCTTCCTGCGCTTCCCCTCCTTGCCCACGCTCGAATCGGGACTCTCATCGCTGTTCATAGCAATCGTATCCGAATCCCTCGCCTGTTCCGGCGCGTCCACATGGTCGCGGTTCGTCAGGTTCCGCGACTGCGGCGTAATGGCAGACTGGCTGATCGGCCCACCGGGTCCCAATCCATTCTCCCATTTCTTGCTGCGGCGAGCGCGAGGTGCAGCGCTAGACGAGCGGCTCGAAGTAGCGCCACCCTCTTCCTCTTTCTGGCGGCGCAGGAACTGGCCCGGCACGCCAACGGGCGGCAGCGCGCCGGTCTTCTCATCGTACGAAGAGTCCGTGTCGTCTGGACGGCGGAGAGACATGGAGCTCTTTGAGCGGGATTGGATACGCGGGAGGCGGTCCATCCAGGATGGGCCCTCTTCTTTGGCTTGCGTGTACGAGTAGGTGAGAGTGAGAGTGTTGATGCGCTTGCCGAGCGTAAAGACGGCGATGGAAGAGCCGTGCACCAGGATCGAAACGACGACCAGGAAGGCAGTGACTGGCCAGATGATCTCGATAATGTTCAGATGGGGGAAGCCAGGTGGAGGCAACACGGCTAGCGGCGTCGTGTGCTCTGTCTCGAGTTCGGCTCGCGCAAGGATGGCGATGAATATCGCACCGACACCGATAGGGCCGAAGTGGCCCGCGAAAAGCGCCTCGCGCCATGTCTTGAGATCCGGTATAATTGGCTTGAGAGCCAGCATTATAGGTATCCGACGGAAAAAGAGAACGAAGATGGAGATGACGACTAGCCGCCACGGAGAAGTACCAATGACGTCGGCGTTGAACTGATCCCAGGGGATGATGGTGCCGAAGTAAACGAAGAAAGCCAAGTTGATGAGCAGATCGATAACGTTAGAGACATGGGATTCTTCAGTCTTCTCAAGGAACCAGCCGTCGTTACTGAAGCCTACACCGCAAGCGAAGCCGACAAGGAGATCGTCCATTCCGAGGAGACTGCCAGAGCCAGCGCAGAACAATGCAAGGACAAAGTAGAACACAAGAAAGCTTTCCCTGTCTATCAGGTCCTTCTCATGGGCGATTCTGATGGCACGCCGCGCAAGGTAGCCGATAGTAACGCCGAAGATGGCCCCAAATATACACTCGTAAAGAATGGTGTAGCAGAACCAATGAAAAGCGACTTTGTTAGTATCTGGTGCATATCGGATGATGTAAACTGCGAGATAGATAAACGGAAAAGCCATGCCGTCATTGCATCCGGACTCGGCAGAGAGCAGATCTCGTAAATGCTTGGGAACCCGCTTGGCAAATTTGCCCTTGCCGACGACGGAAGAGGCAAGGACGGGATCGGTAGCCGTGACGCACGCAGCGATGCACAGGCTGTCAAGCCAGTTCAGGTGAGACTTCAGCATCCACCAAATGAAGAGACTTGTGATGAGCCAACCGAAAGTCATGACGGGGACCAGTAGCAATGTGACAGACTTCCAGTGTCGTTCCATATATGATTTTGGTAACTCGACACCAACGGCAAAACACTGCACCACCAGGACTATCCGAGAGAACTCAAAGGTGATCAGGTCCGTGTTTCCCCATGTTCGCGGGTTGATTAGGTTGGCCGCGTGAGGCCCAAAGATGATGCCGCATATCGTCGCAACAGTGGCCTCGCCTATGTAAAGTCGCTCCTTGATAATGGACGAACATAGCATGAACAGGCTGGTAAAGCCGCCTAGAATGAGGTAGACCAAGTGCGCCTTGGTGATGGATAGATGGTCCCACGCCATCTTTCCCGCTCAGGCCTTTGCGAGATTCACAAGGAGTGTAGGGTGGGATGTGTCGAAGTATGTGCAGGCGTTCGTCTATGTAGGCTGGAGGAAGCCGGCTAGGGAATATGGAGTTGCTACGCTTGTCCCGGTCGCCGTGTGTATGTGTCGAGACTTTCGCTGCATTTAAGAACTCTGTCCTCGGACAGCGGCCGCTCTGAAGGTTGTAGAGGTGGTCGGGTCCGTGAGGACGGGTGCGTAGGGACGGCTCCGCAGTTACGATGCTACTGGTCGAGGGTGAAAAGGGTCAGCACAAGCATCCAAGCCAAGTGAGCGACAGGACGACAGAAGCTTCGCTTTTGTTCGGACTGGTGCTCTGGGTGGTGAGGCGTACAAGGGAGGGTTGCGGCCGGCAGAAAGTTAATTCTCGAGCTTATCCGAGATCGGCAGTCCACGGTTCGGTGTGGGAAAGTGAGAACCGAATGTGTCGAACCAAGGATGGTTGTCGTAGCGAGCACCAATTGCTTCAACACCACAGCAGCAGCCCGGATACAGATTGAAGCTTTATCAGCGGTCTGAAGAGACGGGAAGGAGTCTGGGTTTCACGGTGGGGGAGGAAGATATGGGAGACGAGATGCGCGCCTTGGCCTCGCTCACCTGCAGCGATGGCGAACCGTGCTGGCGAATCTCGTCGCGCCGTTGAGAGCCTCGGGGCGTGGCGTTGAACGGCCATCTGGATTCGGAAATCCGGCTTGGGCCGCGTTCTGTATCCAGATGTAGTTGATTGCAAGTACTGCCTGCGACCCTCGATATGCCTTGGAATCATCGTGCGAGAGCACTGGGCAGTCAAATCCACTCCGGTGTCTGTATCTGTATCCTCAATTTTGTGGAGCCAAAGTTGGTTGAGATAGGGTAGCAGCCAGCTAAGAGTGCCTAATCTGGTACTACAAAGAGACTCGTAGGCCTAACCATCGTTTCCAATGCCCAAGGTGCGGGCGTGAGGAAACGTGAAGTCTCCACCGTAGAGCCACATGGGAAACTAGGCCGACACGACATGCCGAATGGGCATAGAGTCCGTACGATGTTGGACCAGGTGTAACCGCAACAGCCCCATGCACGGCCGGAAGATATCGGCTATTGCGTTGACGACTAGATGTTCATCAGATTGATGAATGAAACACGAACAGAAGCGACTTTGTGCAA